CGAACCTCGCGGGGTGCGGGATCGTGGATGCGCACTGCCGGGGAGTCCCATTCTAGGACGAAACGGCCGTCCTGTGCTTCCAGGTTTTCTATTATGGCCTAGCCTCAATTGACTCACGATTTCAACTATTGGCATACGAAACTTCAAGATTTGGCTCGGACCACATAATGCGACTGGGTATCACTCGCGATTTCTCCAACTAAATAATCTTGAAAATGTATATTATGGTGAACGAAAATCACCCGGGCAATTTTCAGAAAAATGGGGAGTACAGGAATCAAACAGTATTAATTATTTATCGGATCCTACATGTCCGAAATTTCGCAAATGACTAACAAGAAATTAACCTATTCATCAACGTCATATCTCAGTTGTTGATGGGTGTAGTTCCAAGGCAACAAACTACACGTCTTCTAAAATATATCGGTTTGTTTAGATCCATTTTGGTTCGTGAAAAGTTGCGTAAGCATTCCACACATTCATGAATGGTTCGTATTGTGATATACCATTTGATCAATCATAGGTTGTTGAGTTTTTGTTTGTCTTTTCGATCCAGGATCATAAGAATGATTTATGAGACGTCTTTTGAAAGGAAAATATAATGCTGAATGCATATCTGTCGAAGGATATACAGTGAGTTCGAATAGAAGTACACACCACCTGAGGAGGGTTAAGACTGAAGATTAACATTAAATATCAAGTCAATTAATGAAAAGTACAGAATTTTCAGTCTAAGCTATTGCTTAATTTCGGCTTTTGAAAAATATGCAACCATTGAGGAATGTACTGGGATAAAGACCGCGGGCTAATGACCTGACTTTCAAGTCTATGGCGGTTCTAGAGAATCATGATGACAAACTAAACCTGACAACCCCATGAAATAGCCCAAAAGAAGATGTTTTTACTCTTAGTGATTAGGTATTTTAATAAAATACACGTTGAGGCTCTCGGTGAACCAGTTAAAATTCTTGTTAACCTGCAACGTCCTCCTTGAAGGATTTAACTTGACTGGAATTATATATTCTACTAGGGAACTAAAGACTAAACTAAAGACATCGCTGAACATTTGCGATACATACAAGTACACTTACATTATAGGTCAATAAAAATGTTGTAAAATACCTAACACAAATAATCTCCACAGTTCTTGACTTTCTACTGTTAACAACCATTATATTTGCAAGTCATTAACGTAGGTGATCTGTGTCGTATGATTGGAGACCGATTCAACTTAGACGGGAATGGGGTGACCAACCAGTTAACATATAAGTCTCGCCTCACAGTTAGTACGTAAAGTGAATTATCTATTCATCGTATTCAGGCACTATGGCTATTTTGATGACAGCGCAACACAAACGACGTTATTACAGAAACATATTAGCTAGAGTAGGTAAGAGAAACAGAGTGCGACGACCACCGCATAGGCCGGTCCATGGCGTGCAGTTGTTAAGTACACATTCGTCGTCATTTATCTTGATGAGGATCGGTGAACTGCCTGTTATTCATCAACCCGACCGTCGAATGATTTGGCTAGGGCCCGATATCATTTCACTGGCCCCACACATTTACTGTAAAGTTAAATATTTGATGTTGTGTATAAAACCATCACAATAATACAATCCACTTTCACACTGCACGCTCCAAATTCGATTTCCTGATTGTGTCTTGTCTAAGTTCTAGACTTACTTATTTCAAATTCACATTTTCACCGTATGTTCCAGCTTCCGAGCGAAATACGTCATGTTGCAGTGCCGAGAGATGAGTTGGACTATGCAGTTCACTGTATATCTAGTGTCCTCGGTAAACAGCCAGATAGAAGACGTAAGGTTAAGTAACACATACATGCGAAAACAGTAAAATTATCAATATTCAACATAGCTGTTTTCGATCGGCCAAATGTTTTCGTTCCTTCTGTAAAATTTACATCATATAAACTCGGGATCGATTGACCTACATGGGCTAAAGGAAGAATAATTGACTTCTAAGAGATCTTCCAGAGATAAAGGCTGAAGAAAGCACGTTCCTTATGTCATCCGCCATCCAAATGGCAGTAAGTAATTCTGTTTCTAGTAGGAATAACACCAACCTTACCACCCAAGTCATCGGCCATCATCCCGCATCCCAAAGTGTGTGTAAGGAGACTGTGGTCGCTACTATAATGAAGGCTGATATATGGGTACAGATCAAGAATAGGAAACGACCCAATGTTGTTAAAGAAGGAGCGAAAATCGAAGGTTGATCATAGTGACAGCTGTCTTTCATACAGTCAAAGAGAGTAAAATCTTAGAACTCAGATCTCGTTTTGAGCTCGATATTATGGTGTTGAAAGAGCTAATAAACCAACTAATGCCTCAGGATATGTCTGGAGTCACCTTGCTATTGGTGTATTGACTAGGCAGCCATATGGACTTGAAATGTCATCAAAGCACGCTGTTTAAAGTAGTATTTAAATCTCCCAATGAAAGGGTCCTAAGACCGTAGAATGGACACAAACCAAAAGGGTCCGGAATTTTTGTCCGTTAAGACTTGCCGCTCTCTGAACGTATAAAAAGACGGGAAGCTGAAAGCAACTGAAATTAAGGTTAGTTGCTGGCCAGTAAGGCCCTAAGAATAACAAATTGTTGGTTGGTGAAACTTTGACGCAGAATGATGTCGAAGCTACCCTGCATGCATTGGAAAGCTGTTTAAATGACCTTTTGATCTGTTACGCCAATTCCTGGAGCTTGACCAACGGGCGATCCGAGGTAAGTGTACAGATATAATCGTTGACACAGGAACTTGTATGGTCCAGTCTGTATATAATAGGCAATTCGATTTTGAAGGTTTTACATTGGTAAGAGCTGAGGGGATTCAGGAGCGTGAACGAGTAGCTTTATTCCTTGGAAAAATCATCCTCTTCACCATTGTCGATAGACTGGAAAATTTGAGGACTGAGCTACATGAAAATTCTTTCGAAAAGGAACTATTTAATGCGATTATCACTTGTTCTCTAGTGCAACATATGAAAGAAGCGACTAGGTACTACTCGAACTCCGAATTATCCTTATTAGATAGCATGTTGATTCACTATGGGGATGGTGTCGCAAAACTCCATTATATGTCACCCTGGGTAAGATTGATCATGCGGTTTTTGTCTTTGATTTCCATATAGTTGTTAATAACGAAAATGTGTCAGCCCAAGCCAGACCAAACGTTTGGAAAGCAAATGCACAAGGAATCGTATACTCAGCATCTTTAGTAGGTTTGACAATAGAACCAGAATTTTCTATTGAAACGGCTAGTGAGGAATCAAAAAACGTGTACATAAAAGTTACTGCAACAAATATCATTAAGACTAAGCCAAGGAGTCCGAGAAACTCTATTAACTTACTTTCTTATCTTTCTAAACAGAGAATTTACGAGGACACTCCAAAAAGTTCACAATCCCTGAACAAGTACTTGTCCGCTGACTATCAACGTTATCCTCACCCCGTCAAAAAATGGAATTAATTACCTCAGAACGTGGTTGGGGCTCCATCCGCCTACTCTTTCAAAAGAAAGTTGTATCATTTGAGGAGCTATTTATTTTGGGATTTATTTACCGCTATCGTCTTATCAGTTATCTATTTGTCACCTCGATTGTTTTTATATGAGCGTGAGTAAGTGCGTGTTTATAGATCACTCTCTACTTCGCATTCTGTAGCTTCTATTTGTGTTCGATGATGATTCACACCCTGTTAAATTGAGCTGGGACATTTGCTATCTCCGATTCACTTCAATTCTCATAGTGGCTGTTTGCGTTAATGAATGTATGAAGCGAATGTATTCAAAATTCATTTTTGTATCGGGCTTGTTTTACTTCGGTTTTTACTAACAAGACTTAAGGCAGTGGAAATGTAGTAGGTTAATGGAGTTACATGTTCGGTTATCATCACTCAATGGCTATAAAGTCAGACAGTGGGCATGTATTAGAATAAAAACTTTGGCTATTTTCTCCCTAAATTTATAAAGATATTATGCTTCAGATTTTCTTCTGTTGAGTGGTGACATGTCTGTGTCTAAAAATAGAATGAGCGCTCTTCACGTTTGTTGTATATGTTACATAATATTAGGGTTACAATCAAACTCTTAAAATCTTCCACTGGTTTTATTGCTTGGTGAGGGTTTATCATTCTGTTGGTCTGAAAATGTGTGGTAATTACCTTGACCTTAAATGCTTTTCAGCGTCATATGCAAATGCTTTCTCACAAGCTGTTTATACTCATAGATTGATGATTTAAAAATTTGTGATGGAATTGAAGGCAGTGATCAAAGACTTCTTATTTCGGCAACTCAGTATACGGTTAGAAATTTGGATAGATGTTGAGGAAACTGAATATAGGATTTCATCAATCAAAGTACATATAGCTATCGATTTATGGCTAACCATATGATCTTTATCAAATGAACTGCTGTACATACTTTTGATCCTTTAAGATTTACTAGTCAAATTTTTGATCAAGTTGGGGAATGGAAACTGTAGATCACCAATTTAGGTGATCTGTATCGAATTATTGGTGGTCTACTCGAGTTGGACGGGAATGACGTGACTAATCAGCTAGTGTTGAAGTCATGTCTCACGGTTAATACCTAGCATGGAGTACCCTTTTATCATGCCCAGGCGTTATGATCACTTCGATAGCCGTACAACACAAACAACGTCATTACAGAAATATATTGGCAAGCGTAGATACAAGAAACAGTGTGACCTCTGCTACACGTAACAGTCCGTGACATGCAACTGCTCAATACTCTTTGATTGTTCTGGACCTCGACCGAAACGGGTGAATTTTTCAATATTCAGCGACCCAACTACCGAACCAATGAGTAGACCGATGAACAATAACTAATTTCATTAGACTTTAAACATCATAATTATACAAAGGAATCACCCACATGTTTTGCCAATACCCACCTAAAGAACCGGGGACAAATGCCTTCAGCTTTACGACTGTTTATGAATCTTTATTTCTAGTGATGTCATTAAACTAGCAAGTATGTGTTTTTGTGCATCATTTTAAGAGTAGATGTTAGTCCATAGCTTGTCGCAATCTAAGGCGGGTTGTTTGTGTGGACATTCGCGAATGACGTGAATTATGTGGAGGTTTGAGCTTTATGCTAAACTTTTTCAACTGAAAGTAATTGTATTTTGGATTCTTCAGTATTTACTCACTTAGTTAAGCAATTATGATAAGCATCCATGGGAACACGGAGTTGAACAACGGATCTTGCAGGTAATTTCCTCTTTCGACATTATTACATTTCTGACTACATCAATGTATAGTTGCTATCACCTCATAGTTCACTTTGGACAAAATGTGTTTATTTTCAGTTTGATTTCTGGTTCACTGAAAACAATCGGTTCTTGCAAGATCTGAGCACGTGTATTCGTCTTGTCATATGACAACATCTGTTATTATTCTCTGGGATAAAAGGTACAGGACACGTCTTCCGTTGACAGTTTCTGAACGTCGAAAAATCTGGTTGTCACGTTCTTCTTGCTTGCCTTTGAGTTCCGAAATAGCTAATTATGGCCTTTGAGTTGTCCTAATATAATTGGTCAAGATTCATTTCTTAGTATCTTGTACGTAATTAGATCTACTATTAGTCACAAAATACGGCTAAGTGATGAGTACGCAATACTGCATTACTTACCTGATACTTAGAAATAGGGAGGTATATGTTTGTGAGTTAGGGTCCTGAGCTGAAACAGAGGAAGTCAACTGATGACGCTGATTGTAGTACTTCAGGATCTTTTCGTTCCTAATTATGCCTCCTAAATCATTGTTAGACACTGCTAGGTTAAGGCCGAAGACGTTTTTATGTTCTGATTGCCAGTTTTTACCACTGGCTCTCAAACTTACAGTATGGCTCATATCCAAGTATCTGGTGCATGAGTTAATTATTTTAATTTTGTTAGCATTCCTTCATCATTCCAATGTGAGATTTAGTAACTTGGACCAACACACATACCTGTCGTGTTTATGTTGTTATGATCAACTACCTAATTAACGCATACTTGAAAAATAATGAAAAGCTTTATTCGGTCAATTATATTTTTACGATATAATAACCGTCCTAAAATTAAGTAGACAGCGTCAACTCTATACAAATAAACTAATTATAATAAGACATAATTTCCCACTTTTAGACAAGGAAATAAACCCATTGTTTCGTTGAAGAAATAACTGCAGTTTAGTGAGAAAACTTTGACGATTTTATTTGCTAGATCGCTACAATTGTATAGTATATGTAAGTATATAGTGGGATAAAAGTATTACATCATTGAAGACATAGTTTAATGTTTTGTCAGGTTTCGGAAAAGCTACACGATAAATCAAAGTGAAAATAAGTTACAGATGGAAAATGTCAATTTGACGATAAAAAAATGTAGGTATATGGTAGTTTCGTGTCGTAAATTGTGTGGACGTATGATTCATAGGAACGTAGTCACGTAACGTTCTAACTGCTAATGAGAAATGTCAAGTTGAAAATATGTTATATAAGATATAACTTTATTTACTAAGTATAAAAAACAGAATAATTACAAAATTGTAGTACTAGCTGATTGGTAATTCTGAAAAAGTGATGAAGGAGTTATAACAATTGACTACTGATCATGCGATATAGGGAGAGAGTTAAGATATGTTTTTTTCGTACACAGAGATTAGCTTGGGATCTGAGTTGTTAAAGCCTCTTCAGTACCTAAATTTCTAATCTGTATTTCTTATGACTCACCTCTATGTTCGTTATTTCGCTAATTTATATTTTATCAAGTCGTATATTCGATGGTTAACTTATTCTATTACCATTAGTACTGCTACTGTCTGTATTATTCTGGGATTTTTCCTGAAAATTTCATCTCGCTTCGCTATTAGGGTATGGTAACGTGAGCTGGTGTACAAATATAGCAGGCTCGACGTTGCGTTTTAGGTATTGACTACGGGTGAATGTGAAGTATTCTGGTGGAGCAACGTGGCTAATGGTTGTGAAATTAAACTATATACCAATTTAATCGGTGCTTCTAGTAACTAAACGGGGTAATGCTCAGAGATAGGTTCCGAAGGAGCTAGTCTTGTGCGCCCGATATAACCTGGTCCATAAGATGAAGTTGATTTATAAATATACATAGCTGTGGCCCAGAGCAGAAGCTTGTAATTCACACAGCCACTCATCAAAGCGCGACTGCAGAAGAGAATACAATGTTCATTAGAATAAAATATTTTTCCTCAGAGATCTCGAAAGTCAGTTTTTCAGGATCTCTGCCTATGTATCTCCTTCAAATTGGATGTTTATGGAAAAAATCTATAACTCTAGATAGTTTTTCACGCTACTGTACTATTCTACTATTTCTGTTAACCAGTATATGTGGGTGGCGATTGTTGATGGGTATCTGTCGTACTTGATCTAGTTTAATGTCAGTTGTATCATCAGTTTAAATTCTTTTGGCTCTAGCTAATAGAGAGTGAATTAAGTTTCTCTTCTGTTTCAAGGGAGCACAATATTGGAATTTGTGTACTCGTCGTTCTAAGTTGGCTTTCTGTATATTGATCTTCAAAGCAACCCATCCGGCCCTCGACTTAGTAAAATATCTTAGAAATGAAACCCATTAGTCTAACTTTGGTTTTATTGTAAACGTGAATATTGGTGACAACTATTCAACTTTCACAGGATGTCTTTGGGTTCGTTATTTTCGTTTCGGATTGTGAAAAAACCATTTAACTATCTTTTGTATGAATAAAAACTCTCGTTCATGGTTGTAATTGCAATGTTGCATAAATTGGCAGTAAAAAATCAGCTTGAAGTGGGTCGAGTGGTGACCAGATTGCTATTTTAATCGTTTGTTTATAAAACGCATAACTCAATTTAAACTTAGCACTAAAAGTAAATTACAGAATTAATTTCTTTAGACATTATTTTGGAACACTGATATCGAGGTTTTTGTTTTCATCATAGTTTCATGAGTCAGTCAGTCAGTCAGCTACAACGTAGGACCAGGCACATATGTGCATCGGTTCAGGTTGCCATACCGCATCAACACAACAAGATGAACACCGGATTCATAACAGTGGTTAGGTGAAAGGTGGTAATATATAAGAGAAAGATTGCATATAGAGATATAGTACAAGCAGAAAGAATTGGTTCGTAGAAAGAAAGATATGAAGCGATTTTAATCTCATAGTTTAAGGGAAGACAGGGAGTGTATACACCGACGCCATTGTGATCGATTCTGAGCCATGTCACCAAGAGTCTCCAACCATTGGTTACGATAGTCACGCGGACCCCAACCAAGTAGTCTGCATCTACCAACATGGCTCAGACTAGAAGTTAGTGACTTCAAGCACTGATGCCACGTTTTGGTTTGGCCGCCCCTAACTTTCTTCCAACCATTTCCAATACCAGATAGCATTGCACGTCGTGGTAATCGGTGTTCAGGCATACGTAACACGTGGCCCAACCATCTCAGTCGATGAAGATTCATAACCTCATCAACTGATTTACCATCCTTTCCTAATACCCTGCGTTTCATGACAGACAGATTGTATCTGAATGAGGTGCATTTGTTAAGAGAGAAGTAACGTTCAATGAGTAAATTTTCTGCCCGGTTACACTGACGTCAGATATTGAATCAATAAAACCAAATGAATCAACAGTAGTGTGTCTGTTAAATTAATTTCCGACTGTCAGATTTTAGTTGACCGTTTTGTGATATAGTCTAGGAGGTCCAGTGGAACAATATCAACACACTTCTATGTTTAATTCGACGCTAAATCTTTATTCCTTGGAAGATCAAATAATTGGGATTCACTTTCGAAACTAGATGTTTAGTTTTCGGATTTGTAATATTGAACACAGCGGCTTACAAGGTTAGGGAGTTATTTATAGTCATTGTTAGAGTCTGGGATAAATTCGCTTGTCTAATGAGTTAGATTTCCAAATCGGATTTTTGTGTTGATTCCTTTGATTGCTGTGGAGGTATCACAGTTTTTTGAACCTAATACTTGTAACTGTAAGGTCATCATTCCACATAGTATATATGACGTAGGAATGTAAGTGATATCTGTCTTGGAGATAGATGAAACATGTCCTTTTGTATGAATTAAGACCCTTTTGATTGTTGTTATTAATGATCTGTTAATGACGTAAAATACTTTTATGTAAGGAATATTGGCGGTATCCAAATCCATAGATCAGGGTAGATGAAAGATGTTTGATCCATTATTCGTCGAATCTTTAAAAGAGTGAATATCCTTACTCTTACCACTGGATTGATGATATAAATATATTTTACACACATTGATGTTTAGTACCATTGGTTTTGCTACATTAGGTCTCCTTCATTTCAGTCCGTCAGGACGTGCATAACTAATTAGTTTTCTTAATTAAAATAGTGTTGAAAAATAACATTTTTCCGTATTCGCTCTAGGGAATTGATCGCCATTCGACTCGTGATGGGAAAACACGTTCAGGTCTCATTGATGTAGACGTAATACGAGGTAAGTAGGTGATTAATTGCATACTTGTGTTTTTTACTGTTTACTATATTGTTTCATTGAATATCAAGTATTGTTTCAATATTCAAGTCGGTGATATACAGGCTTGAAGTTCCTGGTCTCTTCTTGTACTTGCATAAATGTCTTTTGCTTCCAAAATTATCAACGTCTGGTATTGTTGAAGGGTTAAACCTGAGATTCTTGTTATGTCGGATTAAGGTTTTACAGCTAGATGTATCGAAATATCGGTTGGTGTTTTGTTATAACTTTGATTTGACCGTGATAACCCTTTTTGAAAGCACTAGGACACCGTAAAACTAGTTTACGTCTGAGTTTCTGTAGAAAAAGTTATATTCACCAAAGTCCACACGCCTGCAACAAGTATCAAAGCAAATGATTTACTCAGAATTCCGTTGTTATTAGCAGCCATACTATTAATATAATATACGAATATTCATCAATATTTAAATGAATAGTTTGACAGTAATTGGGCATCAAGTATACAGAAGACATTATTTGTAAAAATTATGTATCACTGAAAGCATGAACCGACCAATATTAGACCACCATTGAGAATCTGGAAGGACTGGACAACCGTTTCATTCTATAGTAGTACTTCTCATCGGTGCGCAACCACCATCCTCCTACGCGGAATCCGAACCCAGGACCTTCGGTATGGCCTGCGAAGGCTTAACTTCTGGACCACAGCCGGCATCTAACAGCGTTAATGTTGACCAGTTAATCTACGATATTGCGCTACCATTTTATTTAAAAAATCTCAGTGATTGAAATTTAAATAATCCCAACATTTCGTCCAGCAATATTGTCTATACTTTTCACGGTGATAATCAAAATCAAACTATCAAAAATATATAACCCTGTTTATATCATATTTGCCTTTATTCCTACTTCGAATGTCTTGGTATCATAAGTACATGTATGGTGATTCTCATTTTGCACACATCGATATTAAAAAAAAACGTTTCAGTTGCCATCACTGTTTTTATTTTGCTACACAAAATGATTAGCGTATCTTTGGTGGTAGGTAGAGACTGCATTTATTCACCAAATATGAACTATTCATAACATAAAGGCACACATACACACATTCATGTTTTACATTATTCACATATTACTAATTAATATTTCCCTACTTACTGAAATCAACATCTGATTATGACTAGATAAGCTTTTACTGTAGATTTAATTGTCAAACGTTATATATTCTTTGACAAGAACACTGAATGAAATGTTGGAATTATTTAAATTTCAACCTGCGAGACTTCTCCGAATATTAATATAACTTGTTTATCCCTGCTTAAAACGAAAATAATCCGGATCACAAACCATTATGTAAATATCATTTAGTCACATTAGAACTGGATATAAGTCTTAAATAGTATTATAAAACGGATAGCAAAAGAGAGAAGGAAAAAAAGTCAATAGATACAGATATGTTGAGTAGGTTCTCGAATAGTGAATGTATCTAAGCCTTGAATAATGGTATTAAAATGTTGAACAGTTTGTAGTGTCTCATAATGATCCACAGATTTCTGATAGATAGATTTAACGAAATGATAAGATATTGAGTAATCGTTTCTGTCAAGACTGAGTTACTTATTTAAATCATCTAAAGAACTAATATCAAAATACAAGATCACTAGCCAGAAAAATAAGTTCTTTTTGTAACAATATGACATACTTATAAACAGAAATAAACTTGAATAAGTATCATTTAATAATGAAGCGATATGAAGATGTTTTTTTGTGGGCTCCTCAATTTCTAACGAGTTGAAAACCTGACTATCAGTTTAAATTCTTCCTTTTCATGTCGAGTACAATCGCTGAGAGCGGGACCTTTTCAACCGCTGTGTTTCAGTTCATTGTTTTTTGTTCACAGTTTTTTAAATCCATATGGTTTATCTGATAATTTCTATCTTAGCTTTTCTCCAACCTTTTTTCAGGCCAATAGCTATTTTTTATATGCTGATTATGACTTCAGTATCTCAGATTATAGGATCTATGACTACTCATTTTAATGAACTGAGGATTTAGGGTCGGTTTGATATACGATCTGAGCGTCATTCAGTCGGCAGTTTATCAATGTTTTTAGGATTTGAGAGGTAGAACAACAACCTTTCTAAATATTTGATTCTCTAGTCATTTACCACAGTCATATAGATTCAACTAATTTCTATGAATCTTTCAATCATCGAACTGATGTGCGAAAGACCATTGTAGCTTAGAGGTTTTGTGTTTAAGTCGATAGTCTCGATGATCAAGAGGAGTAGGTATGCTGGAGTGATTGGATTGATATATGTGGTCTCATTTGGTCGGTTATGAGCTTATGTATAATACATGCACAGTATCGTTTCACATAAGTAAGAAGTGGATTTTTCAATTGTTGTCTAAAGTGTAGGCTGTTCCCTCTTTATATTTTAATTTTATACATGGATATCGATTTTTTATCATGATTTCGAAAACTTTTACCAGACCAACTATTGTCTCCGTTAAGTATTATGTAATATCACATAATTCAAGTGTCGTTTAGGGAGGATTTCCTTTGAACTGTCTTTTGATGACTAAGATATTTCTAACTTATAGGAACAGGGCCATTTAATTTGCCAGGGTTGGAAATCCGTTTCGCAAGGCGAATTATGCCCTTATTAGGCCCGACATTTGGTAACCCGTCTCTCGATTATGAGGAAGCAACATCTATGGTGGTGCCGTTTATCTACAGAATGAACTTTACTGGGATCATATTATGACAGTCGACATTCTTGCTGGTTGGTATTTACATCTCTTATACAACCGCGGCTACTAGAATATTGGTTGAACCGATAAATGTAAACGTATTTTGTACAGGTTGAGTTGTTATCAAACATGGGCCAGTTAAATCAAATAACTGTCTTGCCGTAGTTTTCTGTGATATTCCCCATGACCATTACGATTTACTCTTTAGCTAAATGTAATCGGTTTTAGTTGTGTTCTTGCTTGCACTATATTATTTTCTTAGTGTTTTACTGTACTAAGAGTTGTATCATTAATTAATAAAAATAGTTAGACGATGGGGGCGCATATAACTTAGTCTTGTTATTTGAAAGTGTTGATAAAACACAGTCTTCCAAATATTTCCTGTCAAAATGAGAAACAAAGAGGCTTCGAAATTCTTTCAGTCACCAATATGTAACTCAATGACAGAGATTAAAGTGATCGAAATAGTTAAACAATTCATCTATTTGAGAATTCACACTAGATTAGTAAACCATTCTGTGACTAGTGAAGTCCTGGGGTGGATATAAAAGGGTCATTTTGCTTTTATAAATCTACACTAATTGAATTACAGAGGATTTGTTCGAATGCAAGTTCAAGAAGGAGTATAGGATGTACCACTATTGATTTACAACATGGATAAGGAATATGATTTTTCAAGGTAAAAGAAGTCAGTGTTTTAATATCTTATCTGTCGTTATCTTTGAAACAATCGTTTGAATGTGATGAGCTCTATGAATGGTCATTGTTGTTGATGTTATAGTGAAAAGTTAATTGTGTTGTAGATCTTCTTGGACTGCATTCGTTAGAATTACTGTCAAATTCATTAACTATACTAGGTAGGTTAGTATTTGTTTACTACAAGCCTCAGAATAATCAGTCCTTGAAATTTCTCTAGGTGATACAATCTCTGACTGTTTAGAAAGCCATACGTTGTTTAGCTGAAGTTTACGAGACGATTGAAGATCGGATTTAATTCAATGGATCTGATCCATCCATTCTTTTCATCGTTAATAGGGATGTTTGGTGCCTCGCATTCCATTTTGTCATCCTTTCCTATTTTTTTCTGTTTTACCCTCACTATCTGTACGTTTACGTCTCAATTATTATAATGGATTAAAGTAGTTTGGTATTTGAAATTTCATATCGTTTTTATTTTCTCTAAATATTTGGCTGACACATATAGTGTCTAAGGTCAATTAATGAGAAAAATGTCAATATATCTTTTGCCATAGATTATTCCACGCAATAATACCTATAGCTTTTCTGATTATCAAGTTTCTAAATAAATTATTGATCCGTGCTAACCATACATTGAGGTCACTTGCAAGTTTTATTGTCTGTACAAACAGTGACTTGTTAATACGTCACATTAATTTGCAAATTATAACTGTAGTTACACTGTTTAATCTCTTAACAAACTTCATTCATATACATCACTAATTGCAGGGTTGTAAGCTGTTGGGAACTTGTGGTTTGGAAGTGAATGTATGCAGTTAGGCAGTAAGGTCTAGGTGATAGGTTATGCTGTAAAATATGCGCTACATGTACTGCATAAGAACTAACGGCTATTCGACTAAGCGGGTTTGAATTTGTGGTCTAACGTTTAGGTGAGTGTGTAAATGATTTAGCTCCATTTCTCTGTGAGTGATAAAGGTTATTTGCAAGCGTTTTTGGTTTTCAGAATCTTATAAATTAGCAGCCTTGACCACCATTATATGGTATCAGGTATCGTGATAACCATGTTACCTAAATTTTGATCCTACTAAATAAACGCTTGTATTAGTTTTCATCGATATTTAAATATCTTTTATAAAGGTTCTGTTTTCGCCAAGGCTAAAACCGGGCATGGTTGGATGGCAGCTGTGCGTTGGGGCTTATTGCGCGTAGCATTCGCTCCTTTTTATTGGAACTACTGGCGCAGTCATACATCCTTTCGTGTTGCTGTTTATATCATGGTTCACTTTTTTCTACAGTTTTTACAAGTAGTATTTTTCCTTCTGACGGACCCGCGGACTAGTAACGTAAGTCTCTTTTTTAATAATATTTTGTAACCTTTACTATTTGGACTAAAAAAAATGAAGCTTATCAAAATTTGAGGTTTCATATGGTTTAGCTTTTAAACGCAAAACTTCTATTAATATGAGCGTTTTTAAACCATTTAAACGATTTTAGTTTTATAATCACCCAGTTTGAATATAGGTATCGATCTAGTAGATAGACTCATTATTTTCTTTCAACTTTGGACATATCATAGTTCATTTATTCCCCGTCGATCAATTTCTTCATATTGATTCATCATAGCGTCTTATTTCCGTGTTGAACTTTTCATTCTAAACGTTAAGAAATTGTATCGTTTCAAAACATTTCATTATTGTATGAAGTACTCCATCTCTTTGTCTTTTATGTTTATCACCTGTGTAATAGACTTTTACAGTGCTAATTCATGTGGAATTTTGGTGGTTTATTGAACGCTCGCTTATTATTTTTTTTCCATAAGACTTTATTGTAGTAATATCAACTTTTGTGTTTTACGACTTCTGTGATGCTTTTCATGCTTCAGTTTTGCTTGTTTATCATCAAGTGGTATTTTTAATTTACATAAAACCTTTATCATTTGACATTGCACATTGTAATTTGAGTGTTAGTTTTAGTTTTATCGCCACACTAAGTTCCGGAGTATTTATCTGCAAACGTTCTACTGAAGTCTTATAAATATAACTGATACCTACACATATAAACATACTAGTGTACATTATGCTTGAGTATTGTTTCTTTGTTAATTATTTTGTTATCTGCAGATTAACGAATGCTTCAATACCATATTTTCATAAATCAACAGGTATAATGAGGAAATAACATAGACTTATTAATAATTGAAGTCATAATATCACATGGTTTTGATAAATTTTATGTTCTCATTACACAATTTGAAGTTGTATTGATTTTCCGAATTTTGGGTCACTCGGTTGTATAACTTTCATAATACGCACATCTGTGAATAAAAAATGGCTTCAAGTTATTCGAAGATTAAAGCAAACATCTTTTAGTGGATACAGTAATTTCTTTTAAAAATTGCCTTTTGTAATATTAGTACATTTAAAAGCTTTATTTAGGAGATTCCGTTTGGTTTCATAAATTGTCACATTTAAAATACTGCTCATTAATCCATCACTCACAGATTGGTAGTTTTTATGTTAATTCTAAAGTTATGTACTAGCGAAAACTTATGACAAAAAGCGGGTTAAAAATGAATCTTTTCACTCACTCTATACCTTTTTTAATTAAGAGAATAGATTGCTTCTATCTCTATTCCCAGTCTAGGTGCAACCTATGGTGTGTTCGAGTTCGCAGACCTCATCCGTATCTGTCTAGATTAATATTTGGATTTGAATACATGAAGTAAATATCGGTTACCCTTAGATAGCTTATGATTGCTCACCAAAAATATCAATAGTTTGTTGTTTACTACAAATAAAAATCATTCTAGCATTATGTTCCCAGGTTTTTAATCCAAACTATAAACTTCAAATCTATTGTCATTATTTATGATTAATAAATAACTTTTTTAATAAGTTAGTAAAGCTTAAACTGTGTTTTCCGAATTTTTTCGGTGTTCAATGATCATAATTCTGAATTTTTGTTTCAGAGCTCTCAGGACGATTTACTTCTTCCTTGCTTATTGGCTATTTGTTTGGGTATTCTTCATGCACATATTACTGCTCCGCATGGAAAAACTGGTTTATATTCGTCTTTTATGGATAACCCAATGGCCAATCAATCTTTCAAAGATATTGGTGACCATGGCTTGAATTCAAATTGTTGTCAATACAATCCGGACAATTTAGTAAATAATAAATTTAGTAGTGTACAGACTGTTATGAATAGACATAGTGAGTATGACCATTCATCTTGGTTTCCTGTACAGTCAACTACTTCAGAGCATCACAAATTTCCAGCCAATATGTGAGTTCTATAGTGATGTGTATTGATTAATAATGCATTGATCTTTATCAACTAACATTCAATTTCGAACACCCATTGTTTTCCAATTAAGATATTCTAGCCAAGTAGGGTTCTTTTTTGTTATTCATGTTATCTCTTTTATAAGGGTGAAGATTAGATGTTAATTTATAATTTAATTATTTCGAATTACTACCTCTTTTGTTCTATGTTTAGACATTTTGAAATATGTAATCATAACCTATTTCGGTAAGAAACGACACGCTTTCATAAGTTAAAAATTCAGTACAATAAACAACGACTAAAATATAAAGTTGTATGAAAACTTAAGCATGTAACTGGAAAATCCTTGTACATCCACTAGTATACACACAAATGCACATGGTAATCTCTTATAGAATTACCTTGAGCATAAATGACATAACATTAACATAATCAGATCTGTTTTGATTTCGATTGAATTAAATATTCTTCGTTGTCCTTCTCTACTATCTCAATTTGTGTTAGTTTAATTCGGCTACTAATTTACTGTCTGGAGAAGCTGACTGAAACTAGATCACGAAACGTCAGGAATTGTAATTTCTACTCATTGGGATATCATAAGTGTATGATTATTTTATTGTTAACGATCTGCCCGATGCTTATTCTGTCTGAAACTGTCAAGTCAAACCGTGATAATACTCAGTGATTAGTAATGAAACTTAAGATTATTTTCTATTCTCTGTATAAGACAAATCGCTGAACTTTCATTTATTGTTAATTAGTACAATAGATAATGTTAGTTTTCTTCCACAGAATCTATCCAATCTTCTTGATAGTTTATAATCATTAAGATGCTAAATGTGACAAAACGTAAGAATTTAACATTTATTTATGTGTATAAACTGGCTTTAGTTACTCAGCGAATCATCAGTCAAAAAACGTAACAAATCCCAACAAAGAACATATAATCAATACTTCAGAACAATGTGGACATTCAAGTAGTGGTTGTTTCGAATGTTGCAAAACCTCTCAGTTAATGGACAGAAATTACGCAAAAGCACAACGAAATATACACTGGAGACCATGTGAGATGAAACCGAAAAAACCATTAACTTCGTCCTATAAGTTTTTAAAAACTCACATCGACACTGATTATCAAGATGACTGTTCTGATATATACGGTCCAGGTGATGATACCCAACATGAATTAAATGTCTCGGATGTTACTCATGGAACAGATGGTCCACAGACTCCATGTACATTGGATGAAGAATGTGGACGAACTAAACTTCTTCATAATTCGCAGGTATTAGAGCATAGGTCGAGAGTAGTTCGAAGACGCAGACGTCACAATAGTTACAATTCAAAGCCTGGTAACTCGAGTCGTGGACACGATGCAGATGTAGAAGAGAGCGAAGGTGAACTTATAACTGCCCCATCTAGAAAAGATGTTGGGGAGATTGGTTTCAGTGATCAAATTGTGGATGGTCTGAATCCTGAATTCATTCAACAGTTACGATTAAAAGGAGGTGTTGGTTCAGATAACCATTTTGAGTCTCCTAATTCAGATATAAACCCAAATTTCACAATTCTACGTACGATAAAACAAGTATGTGAATCTCCATTCAAATCTTCAAATTTACATACGTCTGCCAAATTACCAAATACTCTGGGTGATTTTTCAGCCGTAAGAGTTTTATTCTTCGTAAAACTTATTTCTTTATGTGAGTTAATAGATATTTAACGTCAGAACTTTCGTCAATGAGGCAACATAGCTAAAGTTTGATTCTCATGTATGGCAGAATGATTAACTGACCAGTAGCATATTTCATACCTAAATCTGAAGACTAAATCGTATGCTGCCTGCCTATATCATAACTTACCAGATTTAAGTTCACATTAATCAGTTAGTCATAAGACACGGAGAACCTGGCACATATGTGTATTAGTTCACGCTCCCATTCCACATTGGTGCAGCGAGATGAAATTAAATTATCGAAACAAATGCCAGACAATTATATGTAGTCATAGTATCGTTAGCTGTACAAAAAGACAGTGAATTTATGTAATAAAACGTGAAATAATTTTAAACTCAGGAAGTTATAGAAGATAAAAAGGAAATGCATGTGGATTATTGGGATCAATTCTGAACCATATCCATCTCCAACAGTAGTCACGTGGGTTCCAACCTTATCTTTGATCCAATGTATTTGGTTTGAAGGTCAGTAATTCCAATCAGCTGCCTAAACCCGAAATAAATGAGGAGTAATTTAAAACATATGGCCCACTCGTTGTGTGTTATAATACCTAAGGGCTTACAGATTCCAAGTTTCGATTATACATACTTTACCTACTTTTTTTATTTACACCTGTTACCCCTCGTGAAGGAGCATGGGCCGCTCACCAGCATTCTTCATCGAACTGTCCTGAGTAATCCTTTCCAGTCGTTATTGTTTCTTTTCATGTCTGACTCCAGTTGCCGACGCAATGTGTTCTTTAGCCTTCCTCTTTTTCGTTTCCATTCAGGATCCCTAAGTTAGCACTTGACTCGTGATGCAGTTTGATGATTTCCTTAGTATGTATCCTATCCACTTGCAACGTCTTTTCCTAACTTCCTCTTCAGAAGATAGCTGGTTTGTTCTCTCCCACAGCAGGATGTTGATGATGGTGTCTGGCCAACGGACATTGAGTATCCTTCGTAGATAATTGTTTATGAATACTTGTATTTTTTGATGATGGTTGTGGTAGTTCATCAAGTTTCAGCTCCGGACAGTAGAACTGTCTTAACGTTCGCATTGAAGATTCTGACTTTGGTATTGGTTGACAGTTGTTTTGAGTTCCATACGTTCTTAAACTGTAGGGATGCTGTCTTTGCTTTGTCGATCCTCGCCTTTATGTCTGCATCAGATCCTCCACGTTTACTGATGATGCTGATCAGATACGTGACACTCTCCACCTATCCCAGAGTTTCTCCATCAAATGTGATTGAGTTGATGTTCTCTGTGTTATATTTCAGGATCTTGCTTTTTCTTTGTGTATGATGCGGTTCACTGCTTCAAAGGCTTCTGATACACTGTTTGTCTTGACCTGCATTTGTTGTTTATGGGATAGAAGGGCCAGATCATTTGCAAAGTCTGAATAGTCTAGTTGCATCCAACCTGTCCATTTTATTCCGTGCTTTCTGTCAGATGTGGAGGTCTTCATAATCCAGTCAACCACCAGAAGAAAGAGAAAGGGCGAGAGTTAGCAGCCTTGTCTGAATTTGGTCTGTTGTGACTCTAAGGCTTGCTATTTATCACGTGATTTATTCGCCAGTTGAAATACGACTTATTAAATCTTAGTATTGTGCTAAACCAATGACGTTCAACCGGTTTGAGCAACCTAGCGTCCTTATCTGTCCTGCTTCCCGCCTAGCCCTGCCTGTTAAGTCCAGAACACCAATCTCAGCCTCTGCAATATGAATCATTTATTTCAAACATACTGGGTTTATATACCAACCAAGCAGACCGCATCACACCATAAAATAGGAAATAACATTTGTACAAGATCAAGCCAAAATGTGGCTGTGAACGTGAGAGACTGTAAACAATGAACTGAACATAACTTAAGAACAGTGAATCGTACACTAATAATCTATAGGTCAAAATGAAACTTATAGGAAGAGGAATATAGATATACACAATTTATATATATATATATATATATATATATATATATATATATATATATATATATATATATATATAATATTAGTCCATTAATAGTTCTCGTAAGTTACTCGTAATTTGATCTTCATTAGGATGTAACACGGTACTTACTTGGAATGCATCAGTCAGCTGTTCACCATGCACCACTTTGCACCATAGTCTGTCGTTGCGGACGATTTTCTTAGGTACACCATAGTGTCGAAGAAGGTTCCATAAGGTTCTTCTATCCGCCCACACTATCAAACGCCTTCTCATGGTCAATGAAGTTGATGCATAGTGACGAGTTCCATTCAATTGATTGTTCATCGATAATCCCTGGTGTCGCGATTTGGTTTTGAGTCCGATTATCACAGAATCCAGCCTGTTGATCTGAAAGTTGGGGACCTGTTGCTGAGAGCTATCTTGAATTCGTCGAGTTTGTCAGTGTGTCGAGTGAAGGCTGTATTGAACCTCTGTACTGCTGTTTCCCCAGTTCTCCATTGCTCCATTGGTTTCATTTTCACCCAGACAACCACCAGGTGATCTGAAGTTAAATCAGCTCCTCTTTCGGTTCCCACGTCTTCCATTGTCCTTGTGAATGTTTCAGTGATACAAATATGATCGATCTGGTTTTCCGTGGTGTGGTTCGTTGAGATTCATGTAGCTTTGCGTACGCGTTTGTGTGGAAGTATTGTGCCGCCTATAACCAATTTGTTGAATGCACATAGATTTGCAACTTTCTCGCCATTCCCGTTCCTGTCTCTCAGTCAGTTCATGTCGTCTCATGATATCTTCATAACCGTCGCGTTTAAATCTCCCATCACGATGGTTAGGTCCTTTCCTGGGCATTTCTCTATGATCGATTGCAGCCTCTCATAGGACTGATCTTTGTCGTCGTCATTACTATCATCGGTGAGTGCATAACATTGGATAATACTCATTGTGATTCCCTCCTCCTTTGTTTTGAATGATGCTTTGATGATGCTGGATCCATAGTTTAAATGGCCTAAATTATTTATTCTGGTTAGCGTTTTTCAGCAATTTTTTTTTACGAGACTAGGATGCCGATTCTATGCCCAAACCTTTACCTGGGTTTGGGATCGCCAGTTGCCTTAGAGGAGCTATAGGCAGAGTTTTTAGCTATACGTATCATAAATCTAAAAATTGAAACATATTAAGATGGTGATCAAGTGAAAATTTATCTACCACAGTGCACAATGATAACTCATCGTCCTGCATAAAAAACATTTAAGAATCCATGATCTGTGATATTAGTCTGAATCCATGTTTTTCTAAACTAAAATGTAACTTCTGAAAGCATGGAGTTTGTCTAGTTATTGTTTAAATGTTCTTAAGATGTTCTGTCTTTCTATCTATTCTCTCAAAAAAATGTACGGCTTGAGATTTATTTTTCATAAATTCGAAAATCCGATGTGATTTTCCTTACTCTGGTAATTCTAGTATTTTCTCTTAAATACCAAACGTACCTCCGAAACGTATATTTTCCTTATTTATATATGTTAGGTAAAACGTCAATATTTACACATGCTTATGTTCATAGGTATCTATTTTTATAAAGTGTTATTATTTCGTGAGGTATCCAAATGAATTCAGAATCGCTACAACTTCGCCAAGTAAAACTATACATTTTAGATTGGATGGCTGTTAGGCAGACTGAAAATTAACTATTGGTAGCGGGTTTTCATGTTGTATCCATAGCAAAAGGAAATATGTTCAGTAGAGAACTGTTTCAACTGAGTATTATAATACTGTACGAAGTGTACTAGAAATATAATAATTAGTTTTAATTTATAGAGGCATTCAGTTCTTGCATTTTTATTTAATTAAAGTGTATATTATTATTATTATTATTATTATTATTATTATTATTATTATTATTATTATTATTATTATTATTATTATTCACAAACATCTTATGGGTACATAAGTGTTGTGAAGAAACCATTTCAGGTTTCTTCAGAAAATGCAATAATACACAATTTTCAATAATGTTAGCATTATACTTGCCATATTTTAAAAAAAATAGTAGAATATTAATAAATAATAAATCGGGTCTGTGTAATTGAGAAGAATATTGAATTGAGTTTAAAGAAGGAAATGGAGAAAATAAGGGAATAGAAATAAAGGAGACGTGAAATACGCTAACAGTGTAATAGGCGTGTTTATAAACACAGAACAAGAATAAACGACTATGTGTGTATCGTTAAATTAGTAACAAAAAATAATTTATCATTGTAATAAGATATTACGCTAGAATAAATGTTTGTGCAGTTTTAGTTTAGAGTGATGCTATGAAAGTCACAATTAAGTGAAAAGGATAATAAAATATATGCTGTACTAAATTCTTTTCAATAGTGCACTGTTTGATACATTCATAAACTCATAGTTTGTTCAATAAATGTTAAGTTCTGATGACTTCTTAACTTTCATTTTTCAAATAAGATGACCTTTTAAGTTCATTTCATTCCACTGTCCTTCAACACTCAATTAATGTGATCTCTTGAATTGGTTTATGATTCTAAGATGTTAAATAAGCTGATATCATTATATGTTCTCGTGCTCATTTTTAGCATATTAATTAATGTGTTTTGTTGCAGATCTTAAAGATTGTTGTTGATTATCCTAGGTGGCTATAACTATAAATATCTTTCATCGAATCCAAGAATGTACGTTTATGTGCAACCTAGTTACAACTTATGTAACCCCAAGTACAATATCCTAAATATAGTTTCATTTATTTTGGATGGATCTAAAAAAGTTTCTTCCATATTTGTTCAGTGTTACTTAGTTGGAGGTAGTCGGCAGGAAACGTTGAGTTTAGGTTTTATGTTATTTACCACTTGCTAGCAAGGCATACTTGCAATCTTGAGGAATTTAATACTTCATGTAGGATAGGGACGTGCGTCACCCAGCTTCACAGTCTGAGATGTTACTGAGTTATTCGAGCCGCAACTGTCTTCTTATAACAATGAGATACTTACTACTGATTGTCTACTGAGTAATGCCCATTGTCATGTTCGCATAACCCTTAATCGCTAGTCAAACTATATCGATCTAGTTGTTTAAACTAGTGATTACACTGAAATTTAATCGACGGAATTCGATCAGTACTTAAGGACTAAACCAATCGATTATAGACCTGGTAATTAGAATGATTCATCAAAAGGTTTCTATGATGATTATAATCTTTATTTTAAAATCTATAAATTCCGCTAAAAGACTGTTGTATGTCATCTAATTTATGTTTATACTTTTCACTCGAGTTGATGAGATGAAAACATTGTCTAATAATTTCAGCAGTCCTATTCACACTATTTCATAAAACATTCAGGTTAATAAACAATTGAATACTGTTTTCCTTCTTTTAATTTTTTTTTTCATTTCAGAATACTGAGTCTTCAAATAATGTAAGTGTTTCGAAAACACAACCTATCAGTGATTCTCCTATCCCACTGAAGACCGATCAATTCTCTGAACTTGAATGTCTTCCACCTCATCTGTCTCATGTTTCTTCTTTAAGTAGTTCTTTTGATTCTTTCATTGGATCTAGTCGCCGTTCATTAAAACGTTCATTATCGATGAGCTTTCCAGTGCATAGTAAAAATACTACGACTAATATGTTTCTAAATAATAATCTAATGTTGAAAAAATCATTCTCTGATGGGTTATTAAATTGTTCAATGAACTTTGATTCGTCACAGTGTCATCTATTCGATAATGAATTACTTGACGCATTGAAGTCACCGTTTCAACAAAAGAGAGATTTTCGATCCAACTACAATAATACAAAGGGTCAGGTTAGAGAAGTTTTAAAGTTATGTTCAAATCGACGAAATCGTTTGAGCAGTGAAAATATTTCATATCGTAAAATATCATTATCATCGCATTCTTCGGGAGCTGCAGAGTCGTCCACTAATTCTGCTCGATCTTTCAGTTCTGTGAGAAAGTTCCCAAAAGGAAATGGTCACATTTTTGGTAAATTTTGATGATTTCTTCCTAATAACCTTTTAAAAAAACATACAACCTGAAAAGTGGGGTTGTTAGATGTTATCTCTAGTTTTATGGTTTCATTCCGAAAGGAGCTTATTCACTGTTTTTGATTTTACACTTTCATTATCAGAAATATCGAACTAATGAGTTACGCAATGTTATATTCATATTCATTGCAATCAAGCTACAATGTAGAATTTGTGTATTTACAATTAAGATTGATTTGTGTTGTTTGTATGCTATGATATTTACGAATTATTACTCAGTATTCTGTACGATCGTCTCTTAACCACTGTGTCACGAGCTAAAATCTGTTGTTTACTACATGTAGGTAAAGTTTCAATGGTATCAATGGCTTTCACAAACATACATTAGTAGCATGTGTTGCATCTTTAATTACTTTCTACGAACATTTGATTTAAAAATATCAATGTTAGTCAACATATCAAAGTTACCGATTATAATTTGTTTATTCGTTTTATTAATGTTTATTATAAAGTATTTCGAATGTTATATTCACATGATTACCTAACTGTGGAGGTTATTATTATTATCCTCACCATTATAAACATGTGTGCTAGAAATCCCAAAATTTTGAAATTAAAAGCCATAAATGTGTACCTCTATTGTTTATTGTTTAATTTTATATTGATCAAGATGAGTAATTTGCTCTTTGCACATAATAATAATTCTATGTTGTCTTAGAACTTTTCATTTAATAATCTCAGTTGGATACTTTGCTAAAGTATTTCCGACTGAGTTGTAGATAATGTGTGTTTTATGCTGAGCAGAACTGTATTTGAGACTTCATTACATCATATTTTTACATGTATATTTCTCTACTAAGCCCGTACATACATTTTTTTCAATTTACTACACCACATTAACATAGCGAAATGCAAAAGTAGAATAAGCACTAACAGTATAAGTTGTAGTAGGAAAGATTAGTATCAACAATATAATTCGTGAAGAAAATATACATTGGTGGAATCGAAAAAGAATATAAGATGGTTTAGAAACTTAGGTACTAAGGGAAGACAAAAAGTGGGTGCACCTTAATCATCGATAACGAATATATATATATATATATATATATATATATATATATATATATATCCTGATTATTATTATTATTATTATTATTATTATTATTATTATTATTCAATAATTTAATCCAGGTTGATTGGATATTCTTACTGACTGTATCACTTTCTAATTCTGTATTGTGATTTTCAGAATTGGAATCCGTACATGATGTTGGTGCAGAATTGACAGCCAATCCAAAATGGTACTGACAATATTGATTATATTGTTAACTTCACTTTGTTTATTTTGAGTGGTCTTTAAAATAAATATATGTGCTTATATCAATATCCACCTGTGTATGCTTAAATACTTCGTTATTTGGAGTGTATGCACCTTATCATTTATCGTTAATCAATTATACGTGGTAAACACTAGTTACTCAAGCGTGAATAAAAATTAGCTTAAAGTAAGTTTTGATAGTCGGACCGATTAAACGTCGAATCACATAAAAAAGAATAAGTTGAATTGACTTTCTTAAGATCTTTTAGGTTAAACCATTGTAATATCATGATCAAAATGTCATTTAACCTTAATGCTACGAAATCATTTTGAAAAGCATATTAATTTAGTACTCCTAAACATGAACTACCTTGACTAAATACTTAACCATAATCAGATTTCGTTTCAATTCGCCACGTCAAGTAATCTGTGCTCATATCTGTTATCATCAATTTGTGTAATAAATTTACTTTCGACATTTGGATTGACAAAATGTTCCACCTATTTCAGCTTCTGTTGTGATAACGAAAGTGACTACAAAAATGTATTGATGCTAATGAATAAGAATTGAATGGCATCTAATCAAATGTGTTATATATCATGTTGCTAACATCAACATCTACAAATTACCAATGAACTGTACTTACGTTTCTGTTGAATTATCGTCAAACGGATAAATGGGGAAATGTTTAGTTGAGTTTTCACTATAAATCCTATCCTTGTTGGTTACGACAGAATTATTGTTTGAGGCAACTGTTCATTCAAATGAGTCTGGACAGTGAGAACATGATTTTTCATATATCTCAGTCGTCTAAATATGTTGAAGATATTTTGTGTATTAAAGGTGCAAAAAATTAACTGCATGATAAAATAGTATGATGTGTAAATAGGTAACGCATAATAACTGTTTTTTTCCAAGTACATCATTTTATTATGTATATTATGTAGTTTTAAAAACAGGTGACAATCATATTGTTATATGCTGTATACTGGTGCTGATTATAATACTATTATGTTGTTTTCAAGAATATAATCTAAATATTTGTTATTGTATAAGCGTGAGTCATCTGTGTATTTCTCTTAGTTCTTCGTATACTTGATTGTAAAATATAATAAATCACAAGACAAATATCCTCAGTAGTAGTAAGTATTGCACCAAATGCTTAAGTATTTTTATGCATTTGACGGAATACCATAAAATAGCAATAAATATTTTGTGTATTGAACTACAGTTATAATTAACACCTAATTTTATGCTCATTAATGCTTTTGAGTTTGTCAATTGTACAATAACAATCCTTGTTAAAGTTGAAAATCCCACATTTAATAATGAGGAGTTTAGTGGAATCGCGCTATTGAAAAGGTTCGAATTTCTGTGAAACAACCTTCAGTCGCTATTTGGTTGAATATGATTTGTGTAAATCTATACCTAGATCTACAAAAGAGACTTCCTACTTTTGTAATATTTTTTACAGAACATTTAAAGCTATTTACTTGTGTACGCATAAGATTATTTTCTTATGTATGTGTAAAAGTTAGAAAATGTAAATTATTTGACATGAACTCGACTTCTGAAGTAATATTCTAGTCACTGTAACTCACTCCTGAGTTTAATCGTACGGAATTTAAGTTATATTTTGTCAGAGTTGGATAAAACATTTATTCAATGGTTTTTAGTTTTTATTAATCTGCCATCTTATTTTAATCAGTGGATGAGCCATTTTTTAAATTAGTGAAATCTCAGGTCATCTTACTTCAGTCTATTTTTATCAATGTAAGCCAGTCGTCAAATTCTGCAAAATCTCTTGTATTGAACGGATGAACTGGTGAAACTAAGTTCTTTTTTATTGTCTGCAACGATGAATTATTCAGCAGTTGACTAATATTCTCTTTTATCAACTTTATTTTATTGTAATCAAAAGTGGTCGGTCTAGTGTTGACAAAAATTTATACAGGAAGACATATTCCAGTTACACTGATATATTTAAATCTCAACTGATTGAAGACATGAAACCTACTGTTCAACCAGTTGAGTTATCTAAAGAATCCCAAAAGGTATGCAACTTATACTGATCAATTTTTCCTTTAATTGTGTCTTATTCTCATCAGTAAATGTATTGATTTTGTCTGTTAAAATTTCAGGAAAATGTTTATTAGTCAAAATTTGTTTCACTTAGTCACATTCTAACACTCCAACCCGTGGTTTTAAAAATTATTTAAAAGCTTAACTTGGTTGCTCTCGATTCTTGCCAAGCTGAATGTCTAGAAGTCAGCTTGTTATGGTATCCTAAATGTCAATTTGTTTTAATCTCTGTCTTGTAATGTTCCTGTGTAGTCATGACACAATTGTTAGTATCCCTGTTATTCAAACTGTCACAATTCAGAAGCGAACTCAAAGACATTTCCATTGCAATAATTTATGTGGGAAGTTCGATTTCCATCTACTAATATTCAAAGCAAAGAATAGATCATATCAGTTATGATAAAGTGAGAAATGCATGGGTATTTCTTGATGCAAATAGTGCTATGGTGAGTCTTCGACTAATACTGTTACTACAATTATTACTTACACCAGACTAGCTACTTCGACGCGTGCTTTTTTGTAGTAAAGCTAGGCGTGGTATACTGAAAAGTGGTTTTTGTTCATGAAACTGTTTAATTGGATCATGTTGGTAGGTTCAGACTACCTGCCTGATTCTTGTAGCTAAAGTTTAGAGACGGGTAACTTGACTCGATTTTAATGGCTTAGATACATTCACTCTCAGTCCTCTCTTGGTAACTAAATTTCTAAACAATCTTGTATTCTTTTTGGATTACACTAATCTATATTTTCTCGAATCATATTGTTAGTACTCATGTTTTTTGCTACCACTAATACTATATCTACTGATTTGATGGGTGCGGTTTTGACGGTCAGTCATATTGAGAAGAGTATTTCATGTACCCAGGCTTAAGTTTTTCTACAGGATTTGGAGATTTAAACTGTATACCTACAATTATCTCATTTTAGCAGATCTTGGTTGATATGCATCTCTTTCGGAATATAATTATTTGAAATTCATGTCCTTGTTCATTACTTTTAAAGATTTCGAGTTTTTATGGTGAAAAGTACTTCTTAACAATCAGTGGAAATAAAATGATATATTAGAATGATTCAGGTTCAAAAGAAATTTAATTTGTACAGATCTAAAATATGTTGTCGGATAACATTATTTTCATCAGTTGCTAATTTACATTCAGTCACTAGTAGATGTATATTTCTCTTCACTAAGAATTAGACCAAGGACAATATTCTACATGTAGAACATTGTTGAATTAAGAGATTTTTTAAGAAAAGAAGTCGTGTGTAATGTAATAAGATTTTTATTTGAAGTATCTCATAATGTATGTGTGTATCATTGGTCCAATAGGTTATTGAATGAAGTTGTACAAAAAGTGTTGGTCTCTGTCACTTTTTTAAAGTGTATTTCATTTTTAAGACTCATTATGCGTAAAATTTATGTCTGGATTGAGATGGTGAAGATTTGTAGCTCATGTGGATGATTTTGATGTGGTTTTGTTCTCTGAGTTGGATGTTTTGGTCGTGGAGCTTTCATCGTTCTTCCGAACGACATCATCAGCACAAACCTCTATCTGACGTTTTGTGCTGATGATGTCGTTCAGAAGAGCGATGAAAGCTCCACGACCAAAATATCCAACTCAGAGAACAAAACTCCATCAAATGTCTGCATTATCTTAGGAGTTGAAATTTAAATAATCCTATTGTTCCGCTCAACAAACTGGTCCGAAATTCCCCCGAGAAATAGCCGAAAGAAAATTATCAAAGATGAATAATATTTATAAACCACTTTCTGTCAAGTTATTCATTCAGGTTTTGACCAATTTTCATATTACGGATAACTAACAGTTTCACTTGCCAAGTTCTGTCGTATTCTATATCAATTGTGAAAATCCATTGGATCGATTAATTTATTCGTTTGCAAATACTAAGGTTTTATTTTTTAAAATAAAAGAAAGATTGCTCATAATTTCATCTGTCTTAAATAAATTTTGGATTAGATCATGATCATAAGAAAGAATTTGTATCACTTTATCTGAAGGTGACAGTTTATATCTTGAAATGATTGCTGAAAATACAGCACTATATAGGATATTCTTTTGTAATGAACTAAGTGTAATAATACGAAAGTATTATAGTATTCTGGTATAATTCAAATAGATCACTAGTTTAATTACTCGACGGTCAGATAGCAAAAAGGGTAGGTTTTTCAAATCAACCTTAAGGGATTGATAAACTGCAGACACGTTAGTATTTTAGTTGGCATTCGTAAATAACATGTCGGGATATTTAGTGTCATTAAAAAATGATTATCAGTTTGTTTATATAATTGTATCATATGAATAGTGTTTTTCGTGACTTTTGGGATTCATTGTGTGATGTTCAATGTACACTGTATATTTACAAATATGTAATATAAATCATAAACATGTGAAGTTTTATTTTTCATTGCATTCCTTTTTTTTGCATGTACTTTTGATAACATACTTAAGAATTTTATTATGATATTTACAATAGTTGAATGAAGTGAACGAAAAACGTGACTTACTACAAGATAATTATGGTAAGCTTAATTTTTATGATTATTGATTCTCCCGCAGTATTCATTTTCTTTGGTTTGTTTTCATAATTTTTACGAATAATATTGAATACTGATCATTTGTGCTCATAAGGTCTTAAATTCACATTTTATACACTTATCGGTTACTTAACCCAATTCATAGGTATCAGTGCCAGGGTTAGACTTGATAGTTTCAATTAAATTTAGGATTCGGTAGAGAGTTAATAGATAAATATATTTTTATTGTATCCCAATGAGTAGAAAAATAGTATTTCTGACGCTTCGTGACCTAATATAAGCCACTTCTTCAGAGTAAATAAATAACAAAAATATACTTATGATTAACGTAATTCAGTTTGGTTTGTCTACTACTTGAATAGCTGTAGTGTTGGTGTACTATGGAATTGTATTTGTCATCTATTCGCACGTTGAAGCATCCATAAGAGAATTTGGATAGCCTTAACTTTGAACTGTGAAACGAATAGTTTTAAGATGTTCAGATCTGTCCATGTATACATAATGGCTTATTAATAATTAATAACGTGACTGTTAAATCGAATTCAGACCAAAGTGGACAAATTATTTCTAGATGGAATTGTTCATAATTTATGTAAATGTTTGTGCTCGTACTGGTTAAATCGGCATTGGTTTGGTTCAGTGCCAAGGTCATATAAAACGTGTTTTAATTGGCGGTTAAATCACGTGATAATTAACAGGTTCATAAGTCATAACAATTTCACGTTGTAAACATTTTCATCTACATGTTTATAATTGAATTTGATTTAGTTAGTGTTGATGACATACAGATTTCAGGATTCATGTTTTCAATACAAACCAAGAAAAAAAAAGACGTAATAAATTGTTAACTATTCAAGTAGGATCATCTTATGAAACTGGGTTTTTACAAATATAATTTCTTATTGTAGATTAAATTGAAATTTAAAAAGATTTTTCATCAAATTCATTATTCTCTTCATTAACTTATATTCTATTCGTTCATGTAGAATTTTATATAGCAATTATGTTACCATAAATTTTAATTATACGTCATTACTTTTGATCATATTTTTATTCATTCAATGTTCTCATCTATGAATGAATAAATGTATTAAAACTTAATTTCATACACATAGTTCCCTTTATTATTTTAAAAAGAGCTCTTTTTAACATTTATCAACAGTTACTAAGTTGAAGAGAAAAATTTTCTTTAAAATATTTCTTTTTATCTATGAAATATTTTATTATGTTTTCTTTCTTTTTTTTTCCATTATTTACTGAATCAAGAGTAGAAATTTTAATTCATTCATTGAGTTCACGTGATATAGGAAAAATTTCCTCATTTTCATGAAAAATATTCTACATGAATAATAGTCATAGATTTTTTTTTCATTTCTCTAATGGTTTGTTGAAATAACCTTGGAGATTTATTTGTTCACGTGATTTTGTAGAAGATTTCGAAAAAAAGTACTTTGTTAACTATAAAACGAACCATTTGCTCTTAATTTTTTTAAACACATGAGTTTCCTTTAAATGTTACACACAAAAAATGTTTCTTACGAGGAATATTTTTTTGCTCCTCTCACTTTTCATTTTTATTATATGGTTTAAACATCTAAGTTCCATTGGAGTTTTTTTTTTCTTCCTAACATAATTATCATTTTTAGTCATTCTATTCTTATAAAATCAGTTATCCTTTATATACTGTGTAAGCGAATAGGTTCGCATTATATTCATTGGTTTGAAGCATAAAGAAACTGTAATATGGATATATTCTTTCATGAATGCAATGAAGTTTTGGGCGGTCACTCGTTTTTTCGTTCTTGATTTTTATTGTTTGTTATTTCATGTTTTATAAAATCGCAAGTTTCAACTTGATTGTTCGGTAAAAAATATACAACGTATAGGAATCCAACTTATTGTTAGTACAATGAAAATCAATTTTATTGACTATTAAATTAATAAATTAAGATTTTCAGTGGAAAACTGATAAATCTTAAGAGATTGCTAAATAATGCGTTAGTCTGCTTTGCTGGGACTTTTGGGTCGGGTTTATTTCAGATATCTAAGTAGTAATTCCTGTTACGTTTTACTTTGTTTCAAATCGTGAGGCATTTTCAATTGTTTTGTTACTAGTAAATCTTTATTTACATTTTATAAAAATACTTTATAAAATTTATATCAGTATATCTTTTCTGAAATGTTATAAATATATTATATTTGTTATTTTATCTTAAATACATAACTTAGGTCATTCGGAATTTAAGAATAAGTCTTATGAATGTATTAATAAAGATGATACCATTACCGTGTTTAATCGACAACGTGCTAAATATTTACGCTTGTTTTTACAACGTGCCTTTCACCCACAACATCCACGTGTTGTTATAAATTCTAATCACACTGATACAGATATGCTTGAGCCAGATTCTGTTGTATTAAATAGTAAATGGTCAAATGAAAATTCGAAATATTCGGGTAAATATGTCCATTCATCTAAAAATCCTGATATTAATTTTAAACTATCGAATCAACGTATATCGTCGTTGAATTCTACAAACAAAAGTTGTTTAAAATCAACTCCACCGAAAGTATTTTACAATTGGTTTGAGGCTAATTCTTTATCTGGAAATATTAATGATCGTTCACAAACAACACCAACAACGGATGTTACAAAGTATGTCTGATCTTTTAAGATTTGAAATATGCAATTTCAAGTTTAATTAATTAATTAATTATTTTAACTGGTAATTTCATCAACTTTGTTAGCCCTACACTAATGTTTGTTTGCAAACTTTTCACTTTGTTTATCTCTACTGGTTTTTCATTAATCTTACTTCTCCGTGTGTTATCGATTACTGATCGTTTACGTCGAAAACCTGATAGTATTCAATATCTGTTTTTAACTGTCCAGTTTAGAAGATAGACGTCCTTCCATGTTTAGTTTTTCAGTGTTATTACCTTTTTATTACGCTAGTGATCTTAAAAGTTTCAAGAATAATAAAGTCGTTAATGTATTTAGCATATGACAACTTTAACTGTAATTCTTTCACATTGTTTAAAACTAAGTTAGATTCTAACAGGCGCATGAAGTAAACTAATAACGGCATCAACTTTGTAGCGTTTCATATAGACAACACTTTCACCAACACTCCCTGTTAAGATAAACAAGATGTGCTTAGTTGAGAAAGTGGCTGATTTATTTTTTGGCGAAGTTCTCCTAAATATTAATATAGAGACTTCAGTAGGTATTTTGGATCTATTTAATGATCAAACTGAAAAAAATATTTCCAAAAAACTCCTACGATAATTTAACATACTGTCACTGTTGCACCGGATCAGTTGAAGTAAGGATGCTCAAATCATCAGTCGCTGATTCCTGAACAGCAGTTTTTATGTACACTAGTAGTTATTCTCGATTATAATTCCCTGATTTATTACTTGTTGCAATTCAGTATGATATCTATTACCTTGTATCTGTCTCCAAAGTAAATATGTTCAATTGTGTTCAAGCAAAAGGATCCTTTTATGAGATTTTCGAAACTGGTTATGCTAAAAAATTTTCAGGGATATTTTTGCATCGGGATTGGATTCCCAAAACGTATAGGCAATGTATGCGATACATTTTCCTCATATGGTTTATGTACCTCACATTGGAAGTAATAATTTAATACAATGGACTACTAATATTTCTTCATAACTTGACGATTTTTAAAACATTTATAGATGAGCGTTTTATGTTCTTCTTTATTCAAATGTATATTCGTAGGAAGATTACGGCCTTTAAATCCCATTCGTATCCCAACCACTTTGCTTTTTTATTTTAGGTTAAACGTTTACTACTAATACATTTATAGGTAGTGTCAAAAATAAACCCAATATATGAGCTAGGATTCCTATTCGTCCATACCAAACCATTTTCAAAATCCAATGACTGTATAGATTTCATTGTCTTATAAATTCCTGGTTTTAGTTACCCTAATAAATTTAATTTATTACTGGTGTGTTAAACTACTATGTCTGGTTCTCAAAACATGATCCTGAGTATTGAACTTGTAGTAAAGGTGTCTGGCAGCATAAGATCTAGCATATTTGTAAAGTGTTTCTCAAAGCTTATACCTAAACCTATTTATGAGCTTCCAGTACTTTGAGTTCTTTGATATTTATCCTCCTTCCCTTTAAATATCATTTTCCAAACATAAGATCTCTTTAATATCCTTTCTACATGTATACTTTTCAGTTCACAAGATGCAGTTACTCATTCTTCTAAACGACACATGAAACAGTATATTGGTCCTGCCAACAGTTTTGTCCGTAATGTGTATTCGCATTCACATTATTTTTCAAAAAATGAATCACAAGATACAAATATGAATGGTCGAGTAAGGTCTTTTTATTCTTTAATTTCTTACATTCACTAAGGCTTTCAGTATTACTTTTTAAATGATGTCTCTTAATGTAGTGTTGTAAATTTGAGGTCACACACATTTTTACATACATAGTATTAAATAGGAATTTCGAAATCCATAAGATATCGTTTCTTTAATTATTGTTACTTTGATTTACATTCATAAGACGGTATATGTGTTCTTACCATACAACTACGTTCATACTTGTCGACTATAAGCTGATTGAATTGAAATCAGTTTCCACTTAACACCAGAATACTGAATAAAACCACCAGTACTAATTGTTGGGGATGCTAGGTCTCAAGAACTCACTTGGTAAATGTCTTATTTTCGTAGTTTTACTTTGGAAATTTGGATTTCTTGTTTTCGCACCGAAAGCTCCCATTTTCACCTTCTTTTCGTATTTCCCACTTGGCAGGACCTTAAACGTCAATAGTTCATTGTCTCTTCTAATATGCTACTTTGTAACGTTTCTCAAAGACACTTCGATGCTATATATATATATATATATATATATATATATATATATATATATATATATATATATATATATATATATATATATATATATATATATATATATACGCTTGAGTTCTTCTCCTTGTTGTTCGTGCTTCTGGCTGCTTGTGGAATACATTTCCCCTCTTCTGAACCCAGACTTCTCTTCCTAGTTAGTGCGGCTAGGACGCATTGGAATAGTTTACTTATTTGGTCATTGTGTCACTGAGTCTTCTTTCCGTTCGCAGATTTAGGTGAACTCATAATCATAGCAATTATATAGGCCACTACACTGACAGGCTTAAATACTACATAAATTATTGTCACTGAATATAGCGTGGTGAATAAAATTATTTTGACTTTGATTTTTGTCAGTGAATGATGAGAACTGGTGAACTGCTGAATATGAAGCGGAACTGAATGTTTGGTTTATCTTGGTTTGGTCCCACTCAGCCACACTAATCTCCTATTACTTACATCGAATACAAGATCTATACACCCTTAGTAGTGACTAGTTTGAAGTTTAATTCTGAACTTCGTGATGGCTTGTCCCAACCAGTGGAGTCCAGTCATGTTATGAGCGAAAGATAAAGAATGAGATATATTACCGATTGCACTGGATGATGGACCTTGATTGCAGTTGGAAATATGGACCATTAGATCCCAACCCAGTGATCTATTACAGTTTTCAATAGTATACATCAAAAACGTTGGTGTGCACTATTATTTGGTAGAAATCCTAGTACTAAATGTATGTTTATTTTTCGCCAGTTTTTGCAGGGTTCTTCAGTTTTTCTTGTCAGTCCGTAATGTGATGAATAGCGAATTCACATTTAAAAATATTTCTTAGCAAATTTAATTTATTGAGGTAGGAAGTTTACTTAATCTGAGCAAACTAAGACGTGTCGTCAGTCCATGAAGACACTGACTACTCGACTGGTCCATGTAGGTAGGCATAAACTATCTGGCTGTGGTCCGCGAGATATTCTTGTAACCGATGCTTTGAGACTTTGAATGAAATAGCTCAAAATCGTTCACAGTGGGGTAGTCTCATTCACTCATTATCTTCCCTTAGATCCTAAGTTTCATAATTCCTAACAAATTTTGTTACTATTATTTCACTAATTTATATTTTGTCAAACTGTATCGGTGATACTTAATCTTTTTTATTACCATTTATACTGTTACTACCTCTACTATTCTGGGATTTGTCCTGACAATTTCATCTCATTGTACCAGTGGATTATGACAAATCAAACCAATGTATACACATACCATGCCGTAAATTGTGTTGAACTTCCTAAACCTAAAAATACCGTCCGTCGAAATACATTGTTTTAGCAGTTGTGTGTCCTTATTATGACTTTAGTTCATGGCTTTAAAAGATGATTTCTCGATCACTGTGTTACCTTTGTTATTACTAAAGTAAATGATACAAAAACTGATGTGGATTAATATTATTGTCACTTTTCATATAATCTATTCTGAATAACAACAAGTGTTATAATATTTGGCTCAGGTGACTATATGTTGTACAGGAAGACTCTGTATCAGATGATTATGACCCTGATGTATGTTGTCATCTTACACCCTTTAATAGCTGATAAATCACTTACCATGTCCATATATGCATGATAAAATATTTTTGAAGTGTTTATTTATTAGATAGATATTAGGTAGTCTTTGTAGTGATAATAATTAATGATATTCTATTCACAAAACCATGGATGTTCGTTTTTAGTTAGAAAGTTTTCAAACCTTTGACTATTAAGTTGCAGGTTTACCCATTGATTTGTGCTAATTTAATAAAGATTTATAAATTATGCAAAATTTTTATCTAATCTCTCATTTATTAACTACATAGTTCAGTTAACAAATGTTGACTAGTTGATAAAATTTGTATGAAAATAATGTAATATTTTGGACTCTTTATTTTTGGAAATAATGGTGACTACTTAAAATGTTAATTACATACTCGACCTACTAACAGAATAATCCTAATCTGTTTTCAAATAAGTCCAATTAAGACTGTTGTGTCAAAGAAAAAAATCCTAGCGTTTTACGCTTCAGATCACGACTAAGTTTCACCTCCGTTGATTGTGATAAATCTGTGTTCGTAAGAAGCAACCTGTACAGCCAAGGAATAACTCATCAGAGTACTATACAAAATGGCTTAATTCCGAATCCACTAACGTTCACCGATTTCTCAGACTTAATTGCTTTTGTTTACTATAATTCTATGTTCCTGTTTAGTTTACAATTCACCCGTAATTTTTCCAAACCAAGTGTTTTTCTTCATGTTTCTTCAACATTTTAACAAGGATGATTATTCTGTATATTTTCTGTTTAATAAATTCAAGGGTCAAACAGCTTCGGAAACTGAATACTTTGATCGGATCAATAGCGATTTGGGGAGTGATGCTGATTCTTCATCTTGTCCAGATGAAGTAGAGTCTCCATCTCAACCTCGTGAAAATGAACTACGAAACTGGCAACACTCAAATTCCGTGCTAGATGTGAATCCAGACGGAGCTGAGAAATTTCAAACAGTTAATAAAAAACACGTATCAGGCCGATCTGATTATCATTCTTGCATTAGTAAGCATTATTGTACAGAATGTTCTTCACATCTTAATGTTTTTCTATCACCAACCACTGATTCGGGACAAATGAATAGTTTCGACAATCTCAAAGGTGTCATGAATAATCAAAAGCCTACTGAATCTCATGAATTGTATGAATCACTACAATCTGTAAATGCCAATGGGAAAAATGAATCTTTATCGAATGTTTGTGAAGAAATTCTACATTCAATAGACTTTGAAGTAAAAGAAAAACTGTTAGATAACCAAATGACCAAGAAAAATCTTAGTAATATTCAAATTAATTCTCATTTAGTAGGTGTTATATTTTGTGCATTATTTATATTATAATGTAATCCAATGAGTTGTTAGATTAGTTAGAACTTAAGTTAATAGGATTTATGACATATTTTATACCAAAGTTTACTTAAGATTACCTATGATATATATAAGCATTTGTCCTTTAAACATGTTACTTTCTATGTTTGTGAAGTATATTTTTGTCTTCAATTCGTTATTTAGATCACAATTTATGAATTCTGGTTTGTTAGAGATACGAAAATAATTTAGCTGTCAGTTACATTGTAATTGAACATCTTGTAAACTGACAATTATCTAGAGGACTATGAAATCTCGTGAACACTGATTAAAGTAATCAAAGTAGACTAAAAATTCTCATCCATTGTTTTTAAATTATAGGTCTAAGTTGATGAACTATAGTCACAAAAAATCATGATCTATTAAGCCCGTTCTCTGTTATCCAGTATTTATGTTTTAACTACAATATCTTAATACTTTGAAGGGGGTATCTCATCCATATTTAAACCACTAGACATACCTTTTCACATTTTAAAACCTCGTATCTGAGTGATTTATACGGAATATAATTCACTTATTGTTGAGAAATGAAAGAGTTTGTTAATGAGAAATATTTACAACATTCGTTTTTCTAAGAAAATAGACCACGATGTAGCAACAAAAACTCAATCAGTTAGCCATATTCAGGTTGGAAAGTAGCACGTTTCAATTACTTGCAATAAATTAGCAAATCCTATACTTCATTGCTTAATATTACATTCAAGTTATAGTGATTTACTATTTTATCGCAATCAAATAGTATTCATAACACTTTCTTGTAACTGTAGTTTTTCATTTTGATTTTGATAATTATTCAACTATTTTGTTTGAAACTACTCGTTACTTTACGTTCATATTTATAGAAAAGAGATTCAAATAGTCGTGAGAATTCATTACCTTCAAAAGTTGATACTGGTATGTTTTTTTCTTAACTGTTTGCTACTTAGTATACTTATATTCATTTATTTCTTGGTATTCTAGCATATCTAATTAATAAGTGTGAATATACTTGTTGTTTGATGGTTGGACGTCTATATACTCATGATATTCCGTTGTCATACCATTATTTTGGTAAGATTGTATGAAACAATCTTTCAAAAGTACTTTTGAAACATAGTTCCTGTGAGGTTCTTTTTCTGGTGTACTAAATGGCTTGTTGGTATTTTTCTGAATAATTTGCTTCCATTTGGATACATTTGGGTCAGAGACTTGTTGCAGTAACATGATTTTTTTTAATTCAAGAAACTTATTAGTCACACAGAGTTTCATGTTTCCACAGTTTGAATTTACCCCGTTACGTAGATAAAGAATTTCCGCACCTGTGACTCACTTTAGTTGTTTTTAACGACCAAACTTTATATGCTGTTTGTATATGACAGATTGTTGTATGTGTTCTACATAAATAAATATCTTGTTACACTTATTCTAAGTTTTGTAACATAATTGAGATCGAAACATCTCTTATATAATTTATGCGAATACTCGTCAATATTAGGAAAAAATAGTTTGACAAAAATTGGGCGCCGATTATAGAAAAGTCAATATACGTGAAAATAATCTTTGAAATGATCTCAACGATTGGAATTCAAATAATTCCAACGTTTCGTCCAGCAAACTTGATTATCACTATGAAGTCCAGACATCTCTTATATCAGTCTTATCTTTGGGATTGAAACTTTATAAGAAATCTAAAGACTGATTCCTGCCTTGATGAATACATATCATAGTTAGTTGTCACATTTAGATAACTACAGCTTTCTTCTTATATTAATGAAGTTGTTAAAACCAATAATTAATGTAATGTATATTCATCAAGGTGTACCATATTTTATCTTTCATTATCAGACTTCTTATGTTAACTTCTTTACTTTTTGTTACGTTGATTTTCTCACATTTTGTTAATAAGGAATGTAGAAACTTATTAATTCTCCACACTTTCATTTTCATTAGTTCGTTGTTATATGTGGGCTGGACAGAAACTGTCGAAATTCAATTTATCCATGTTAGATATTGGGAAGAATGTGATATATGTGAGTATATTTTGATGAGTATTAACAAATATTTTTATTGACATTTTTTACCATCGTATCACAATGTATTAAAAGATGTCCATACTTCTATACTTGGTTTGTGAGTTTTTACAATCCAGTTATATTGGCGATACTAATTTACGGACGAACCAGTCAGATTTAGGATAACAGGTCTCAAATCTTGACGTGAAATTAATTCACCCATTTGTCTAAATGGCGTTTTGTCATTTCAGCTGATGTCAATTCGTGATAAAAATTATAAATTTAATTCCTAACCATAACTAATTGTAAATCTTAATCCTGATTCTTCATACTGCTTTATAACCTTCATTAAGCCCTAATAAGTAGGTGGATGTTCTCAGGGTCACTTTAGTGTTGCTGAAATGTCATCCATAAATTATAGTCTCATGGTTATATTAACCGGCTACTTGAATTAAAGTAGTTGATTTGAAGTTCAAACATGCGATCTAAGGAAGCTGAATCAAAATTAATCCTCCGTAAACTAATTAATAAATCGTTGATTGTCACTTTCTGTTAAATGATGAGACGGCTCTCTTTGATTTCTTTTTTTCTATGTGAGGGTTCTTTTCCAGTTTTTCCTTTTAATTTTTCTAAACCTTTTCAGAAAGTTCATTGGAATTATGGACAGTTGGGTGTTGTTTGTTTGATTCAATCACTTTCAAAAAATATATTAACATTAGTATAGGCTGAGACATACACCTGGGATTTTCTAAAGTAGTAGTGATACTTAACAGATGATAATAGAAATTGGCTCACAACACTAAGTTCAATTAGATTTGTTTTATGAATATTTCAAATATTATATGTCTGTCTTACTTTAACGAGTCGTATGAATTAAAATCACCACATACAATTGAAAGTGAACCATTGAAGGCAGTAATAGCAAAATACTGCTTTATAACCTTCATTAAGCCCTAATAAGTAGGTGGATATTCTCAGGGTCACTTTAGTGTTGCTGAAATGTCATCCATAAATTATAGTCTCATGGTTATATTAACCGGCTACTTGAATTAAAGTAGTTGATTTGAAGTTCAAACATGCGATCTAAGGAAGCTGAATCAAAATTAATCCTCCGTAAACTAATTAATAAATCGTTGATTGTCACTTTCTGTTAAATGATGAGACGGCTCTCTTTGATTTCTTTTTTTCTATGTGAGGGTTCTTTTCCAGTTTTTCCTTTTAATTTTTCTAAACCTTTTCAGAAAGTTCATTGGAATTATGGACAGTTGGGTGTTGTTTGTTTGATTCAATCACTTTCAAAAAATATATTAACATTAGTATAGGCTGAGACATACACCTGGGATTTTCTAAAGTAGTAGTGATACTTAACAGATGATAATAGAAATTGGCTCACAACACTAAGTTCAATTAGATTTGTTTTATGAATATTTCAAATATTATATGTCTGTCTTACTTTAACGAGTCGTATGAATTAAAATCACCACATACAATTGAAAGTGAACCATTGAAGGCAGTAATAGCAAATTCAGTGAATTCATCAGCGAAAATGGATTGTGCAGATAATGTGCAGTCCGGAGTGCGTGGATGTTGGTCATTTAAAAACTTAAAATATGCAAAAGTAGATTGACACTAGTTCACAGTTGTAGTGGCTTTGCTTCGTTAATCAATCACCTTGATAACCATTAACATATAAATCCCCAACGGCGTTTGGATTCAGAAGGAAATAAAAAACGACTACTAAAATTTATTAGCGGATAGCACGGATAACAAATCTGCAAGTACATCGAGCGAGTTTGAAGCAGAGAGGCAAATGTGTGTATGCGAGCAAATACAGAGGCGAATTTATGGTCGAATTACATAAGGGCGCAGCAAGGCAACGCAAAGGCTATTAATGATATTAGAGCACATATATACATGGTAAGGAGAACAACTCATTGGGCGATATTTAAGTTATTAGCATTTTAGCCAAGAGAGAGATATGCGTAGGCTGTTACATGTGATCGAACATACACGTTTATACAGACGTGATAGTGATCATAATAATGCAAAGTAATCGACGAATTGTTACTGTTCGAATAACACTGTCTGTTAAATAAGTTAGTAAAATGGCTTGACAAAAGTTAACCATAATCGAAACTGATTGTAGGAGAGTTGCTATACGTTTACAAGTGTAGCTGCACCGCCGTCACACATTTTCTTATTTCTTGGTCGATCCTGACAATAAATATTCAAATCTTGTAATGATACTAAGCTATCGTCTTGTAAATCATTTTGCCAGGATTCTTGAGTTGTGATTGCATTACAGTTACGATACATATTTTGACTTAGTAGGAATTAAAGATAGTCCACCCTGCCAATCTGTGATTGGCAGTTAGGATCTAAAAGTTCAGGAATGGACATCTGATTAATGTTTATTTATTCAAGGGATTTTTCCAGCCATCCCGGTGTCTGTGATTGTACTTTTTCGTACCTTGCAAAGCGATAGAACGTGAACGTTTCATAAATGCGTCTGAATAGGTTGAGTGGTTAATAGACACAACATTGTTAAAACAAACAAAAAAGTAACTTGCTGAAATATCTAGATGGTAGAAACAAGTAGGCTAGATATTCAAACAGGCCGCTGCTTATGTATGTTTGTCAAGTCCTTTGTGCAGATCAGGTTTTATCGATCAAATTGCAGTGTGGTAATTAGTCTAGGTGTCTTGACATCATTTGCACTACGTTTAAGTGTGAGGTGATGATTATCGACAGCATTTCCTGTCTATTATCTCCAAACACCACCTTATATGTACTCGTTTTTGTAAGACGCTCTCCATATACTATAAAACAATGCTTTGAAAATTTTTTAAATTTTATGAGTGGACCTGATTATTTTCGAAACCAGTTGTCTGAAGTTAATAGTTAAAAAGAGTAATGTTATTAACTATGCAGAGAATGCATTGGAAGTGTAATCTCAATAGGGCTTGATTAAAAACTAAGCAACTTAACGCATCTTCAGTGCATGTCATTGTGGATAGGCAGTAGCGCTAATTTGGCATTTTAGATTCTTTGTTTGAAAATTTTAAGAATCTTGAGGTAAATTTCAATTTTATTTATTCAGTGTTATTGTAATGATTATTACTAATACCATTATTTTACTTTGTTGTATAAATTCCAGGCTGTTGAAAGACAAAGTATTTCATCAGATTACATTATATTCGCTTGTGTTGCAACATTTGTACTACCACTCATATCTGTTATATTTCATTCAACTAACTCATCAAATATACTGGATAATAATAATAATAACAGTAATGATAATAGTAATCAATATCAATCATTATTTATAACAACAGAAGGTACGCTGTTATTTTTTGGCAATAATTCAATGAATCGAACATTCATTATTAACAATGCTGTTTTTGGAGACACTGTTATTGGGTTATATTTACATGCTATATTAAGTTTATTTGGTCATTTATTTTCGACTGTTGCTATAAAAATCCATAATACACTGATTGATACGAATTTGCAAACTTATTGTTGTTCGCAACCTTATTGTATCGTATTCTGGAATATTGTGACTGGTCAATTTTTAATGGATTGGTTTTCAAAACCAGATGTACAGTAAGTTATTCCCATTGTTGTTTTATTGTAATAATCTGTTGGAATGGTTTACTTCTGGCCTAAATTCTTACCCATTGTCAGAAGAGAAAGTCAGATAAATGGGTGCATAAAACACTTTGATACTTCATATCATTCATGATGGACTGGTTGCCTGTGAAAATTTGAAACGTATACAGAGAGCCTTATTGACATTCGCCTATCGACGTTATCTGGGGGCACATGGTGTTTCCCTAAGTGTTTATAGGGAAGAATAAACTATGTAGCTTTCTTTACTTGTTGTTTTTCGGCTGTAAGGCATAACTTAATATACTTTCTTAACGACAATGATTATTTGGGCCACGTCAGGTGTGTGACTTTGACATTGAGTAAACAATGAATCACAGTGCTTTTACTTGTTAGAATTGGTTAAACCAATTCACATAGTAGTAGACATTCATTAGTTGAGTCATTGCAAAGCACTTTTATGTTAAAGTTGATAAAGTAGATTTAGGATGGGCAAACATGGCTAGTGAATCGCAGATCAAGATCTGGCACTTGTCTGTGTACTCATCAACTATTGTTTAATGCAGCGAGGTATAAATTACCTAGAAGAACTTTTCTCACAACGGTAGAAACTAGTGATTGGACACCATCGATTGAATAGCTTAGATCCAATATTTTGACTCAAAGGATTCACTTATTTTTCTAGAAACAAAAAAATATTATTCATCTTTTACTTTACTTTCTTGCTTGCTGTACAATACATACATATTCAGTCTTGTATTACTGCAAAAACTCCGGCATTGTCATCTCGTCTATCGATCCAAGTTGAATTTTAACTAAAAAATGTTTTATAAGTTTTCTACACACCTTTATTGTAGTGTGCGGAGTATTCGTCTTTTTTTTCACTGTTCATTAATCAGACCAAGGGAGTTAGGGAAATTAGAGATTTATGAAGCTACAAATGTACTATTTCTTTTAGTGTTATCTATTAATCATTTTGTGTGGAACACATGGAAAGTAGTTTTAGGCTAATGTTTATATATATATATATACTAACAGATTGTAGTAACTGCTTATTGTCTATCACCTGATATTGTATCTATACTTTTCGCTAAAATTATTTGATCATCTATGTTTAAATGAGATTTACACGTTGTCTAATAATTCTTTTTACTTTCATTGTAATTTAAGTTTAGATTTTGTAGATTGATAAGGTTGTTTCACATATTTGATATTCTTTCATCACTGAAATACCATTTTTTTCAGTATTAAGGTATCCATAATAATTACTAACTGACCTTGATTTTATTACTTCATTTTTGTGTCTAGAGGGCGTTTGGTTATTTTGATTGGATGTATATTACGCTTCAATGTTTACGGCACTGTATTCTTTCTTCTATGTATTGCTGAGCGTACATTTCAAGAGGTAAATCATCTATTACTTTTTTAATGTAAATTTTACTTGTACATAGACTAAATAAGTACTGTAATGAACCGATTTTTATTCTTCTCTTATCATTATTTAGCGTTTGCTTTACGCCAAATATTTCTTTTCTTTAACATCCGGCCGTCGTGCTTTAAAATATCGTGTACCGCAATTTCGTTTAAATAAAGTTGGTCATATAAAATGCTGGTTAATGCTTCGATCGTATCTGAAAAAACGTGGTCCACAACGCTCAGTTGAGCATATTATGACGATTGCATTTTATATTGTTTTTACACTTGGTCTTAGTTTATGCGCTCAAGTTAGTAAACTTTTAATTTTTCCCTATCATTTATTATGCAACTTAACCCACCCATATTAATGTTCTTGTGTGTTCTGTTCGTTTTTAAATTGAACTTGTCAGTCAGTTGGCAACAACGTAGAACTTCGTACGTACGTACATCAGTTCAAATTGAACTTGAATGATTATAGAATGTGATTATAATTATTGTTCACTAATAAATAAAGTGACATTATTGGTGATATACAAGTTTACCTTTGTAAACCATTTTATTTGTTCATACAAACCAGTACACATGTGGAGTGCACTAAATGAAATGAATTCACTTCATTCTACAATATCTGTTCTTGCATCACTCAAGTTTGTCACGAAAACTGACCGCATGAAATTGTTTATTTTAATTAATGTAACCAATTATTTACAATAAAAATCAACACAAATTAGAAATTTATTACGGTTAAACAATAAAGAATCTACGATAATTGCAAACTGTTTATTACCGATAATTGACGTTAATCACTGTTTCAAACACTTAGATCTGAGCAACCAAATTTCTGATCAACTCATTATAGTTTAGATGTGTGTTTTGAGTATTTTTAGAAGTAAAAACCATTATAATTAAATAAATACCAATATTTTTACTCGAAATACAGTTTTAAGGAGGAGGGAGATTTTTCAGATCATTGTGCAAACTTAACAATGTTTTATCAGGACGTTTAATAGTTGTTTGTTTTCGGAATTCTGATATCCAATTATAAATTACTCTTATTTATCTGTTTATATTCTGTTTTCTTCTTTATAGCTTCTTTCAAAAAGTCGTATGAGTGTTTTCACTCACTTAACCAATTGGGATATTTTGGGTCTTTCTTTTGGGATTATTGTATTTCTTTATCGATACATTTTACTTGGTACAAAAATTACAAAGAAATACCGTAACTTCTCAGTACTTATCACTGAACAAGTAAGTTCATCATTCAATTTTTATGCATAGTTTTTTTTCTACATTTAGTTATTCTATTCCAATTATTTTTGTGTGTGTAATTTTCCTTACACTTTTATAATAATACTTTTTTTAACTCTCCAGACGAACAAAGTAACGTAGAATATTTTCACAAAACGTACAATTCATGACATTTTAGAAACATCCACAATGTAATCTTTCTAAGTTATGTTCTGAAGGTATACGAGAGTGTGTAGTCTGTTAGATAAAAAAAACATATATTATGTCTTACTGTTTTTGGTAATTGTTTCCGGAATTATTCAGTTGCTATTGAACGTTTTTGTGTATTCGTGAAATATTTGACATTCAGAAATATCACGTAAAATAGATACATTTAGAAATTTGGGATCATACTATGTTGTGATATAAGAAAATAAACAGAATGATGAAGTAATTTATATCGTTTCGAAATCTGTTCCATTCATTATTGTAAAAGGACTTTAAAAAACATATGGTATGATGGAAGTCAAATTAAAGGTTGTAAAAAGAATCACTTATGGAATTTTCTATTGGTTGTGAGTTCTATTTGCTTTCAATAACAATTATTATTTGATTGTCGAAATTAACATAGACAAAGAGATTTTATTTTGTGACTTTTGTTACTTCTACTATGCAACAGACAGTTGTGAGTCATCTCTCTTGTCTTACGTTGTAATTATCGTTTGCATGGAGTTGAAAAATACCAGTTTTTCAATATCAAGAATACTGGTGTACTACTGTTTGCTTTACAATGTAGTTCAGTAAACTCTCTTGTCATATTTCTGTTAGGTTATAGGAAGACAAAGTTTTGCAAATTTCACTTTTTCTATATGAGAAACTAAACAAACAGATAAATAGAAATGATGAACAACAATATTTTCAGTAGGGGGCTGGGGAAATTTCTTGAATTTCATTAAAATCACAAACCGATCAGTGTTAAATCACGATCGAAAACCTGTAGGCACTAGAATTCCATTTCGTCCTGATGTGGTACTTCTCAGTAGAGCGCATTCATAATGCTACACACGGGACTGGGACCCGGCATTTTTGGTCTCGTACACCAACACCTGACCACTAGATAACGGTTTTAATTTCAATCAGTCCACTATAATTGTAAAGGTATCAACGTGAATGAAATAAGTAATCACAAATAGACTGGTAAGTAATATATGTGCATGATAATATGGTCGATTTTGAGCCATAGCAAGTAAGGTCTGCAAATATCTTATGGATGCAACATAATTTTGATTATTCTTTTATTGATTAGAATAACAGTGAGTTTATCCACTAGTGTCATATCACTTAGGACCTGAATGCTAAAATATTCTTGTCACCTCCACTAATATAGGTGTACAATTTTGTTAAATCCTGAATTTTTTAAATGAGAATTTAGTTCAGCAGGAAATACTGGTTAAAATCATCACACATTCACATCTACTTTTCATTTGTGTTGTGTCCGTTTCTTAATGTTTAAAATATGTACATTATGAAGCATTTTTAGATATTTTCCCATTCACTTAGTTAATGAGTTCTACATGTAACAGTATAATTTTCACTCAGGATTTCATTGAAAACTCTGACTCCGACTTTATTTACTTTTTTCATCCGACGAATTCAAATGTACAACAGTGATAGTTCATAGAAAACGTATGTATGTAATGAACGATACGTCAGATGGGGCAACCAATGTATTGTTTAATACAAAATTACAGAATTTCTTGGTAAAATATGAAAGCCATACATTACATTGCGAATTTTCATCATTTTTCCTTAACATTCTGTATGATTCTTCCAATTTACAATTCCTTTCTATTGTCTTGAAGTTGATTTTCTTAGCCTTCTGCTGCTAGGTTTCTCACTACCGATTAGTTTTACATACTACCTAATATCTGTTGACATAAGTGGCATGCACCACATGTAGATAGCTTTATATGATTAAGATGTTGTCTCCAGTGAAAATTACACTTTTATATACAACACTGACATATTGAGTAAACGGGAAAAAAATTGCTAGAGATAGCAATCTTATTTAACACTTAAAAAGAGTGGATAACTTCGCATATTTTTGAAACAATATGACTTGTTTGTTGACATTGTATGGTAAAAACTCAATCATAGTTGTTTTTGTTTTTATACTGTTATTGAATTTTACTAATTTAGAAATGTAATAAAATACAATTCAGTGACCAAAGACACGTATTGTAAAACCATTCGAGCTATTGTTAATTTGCTACTCAAACTTTAGTGTAACCCATGTTAAGTGCACTATTTTACTGAAATCTAATGGAATAAACCAGTAAATCATCAAACTAAGATACTTGATAAAGTTTTCATTTCATCTAGTCTTACATTTTACTTATTTGTTGTCACTGATAAATATTACTTTTTTTTTGTTATTATATTTTAGATTAATTTATATTTAAGTATGGAGAGTAAACCACATAAAAAAGATGATTTAATGCTTACATTTCAAGTTCTACGTTTAGTTGAAGGTCTACTAAAAGAAGTTGATGGTCCATTTCGTGTTTGTGGTTGGACATTAAATCCATTAGTGTATAATGTATTTAAATTAGTTTTACTTTCTTGTGTATCCACTTTACTATCTGAGTCATTGGGCTTTAAATTAAAATTATACAAATTAAAATTAAATCCATCCAATTGGTAGAACGATTAGATAATAAAAAATTGATGAAAAAATAAACGTAGAGCCATAAACAAACAAACAAAAAAGCATCATAACTATCTATCGAATAACTATTTCGCTGTCTAGTTCTTTTTCCCAATTTTTCTTGTAATCAATTTAGAAAAAAAAATAGTTACCTCACTTACTTATTGTTCACATTATGTTAGTTTCAATCACTGTAAATTGTCAATTTCACATTCATTCAAATAGAAATTCAAATAAACTATTGTGTTTATTTATTTATTCTCATACAACAAAAAAATAGTAAGAATAATTAAGAAAATATGTACTATTCACTTTCTTGTTAAATGATTTAATTAATTTGTTACTAAATCAATATAATATGTCAGTATCAATGTAATCAGATAAACAAATACCAATTTTGATTTTATTGTTCTACAAAATAAATAAAACTATTAATTAATTTATTTTAATTGTAGTGCTAATTCTACTTTTCTTTTAATTTATTACAATAGTAGTCATACATGAACTCTTTGTAATTTGTTGATTAAATCAATGCACGCTTAAAATTATACGCTTTTGTTGTTACCACTTTATTACAACTAAGGTTATTTATTCATTAGAAAGTTTTTCGGCTATTATTGTTTCAAGTGTGTGTATGTATGTACATTTCATGGTCGCAACTAAAAGTCAATATTTTACACGATATATATATATCATACTGTAAACAGGAAAAATGAGCTTCATGAAAATAAACTTGAGAAGAAAATCTTTGTTGCTATTTTCCCTAACTACGAATTTGCTTTAATAATTCCTTTTATTTTCTGTAACTATGTGTTCATAGTGTAGAAAAACTTGATAGATCTATGTTAATTGTGTAATATATTTTTTCTCAGCCTTAATTTTTATGATTTCCTGTGCATATACTGGAATTAAAAAATCATTGTTTTAAAGTGTGAATTATTTTATTCTAAGTATTTTGTCAAGTTTGTTTTTCTAATTGTTTTTTTAAAAAAAAATAAATTGAATACATTCTGTTTTGAATAGTGCTATACGGAAACGATAAAATTAAAGCTATGCAAAACATCAATGAGCATCTTGCATATGTGCTACTATTCAGTAAAATGTGATGATACAAATTTTTTTAAAATCTTATATTCATTTAACAGATTATTAAATGAGTGTATATTGTCGTTTCTCTTGTTCGTTACTTCTTTTTTTGTAAACTATTCTATTTTTTGTCTTTGTTTTTGTAACCAAGTCATAATTCATTAAAAATATTGTCATTATCAATGTTAGTATCATTATTGAGCGATATTATTTCTAAATGCCAGTAGCTCTTATTACGTATAAAGTTTGCAGTAATAAATAAAGGCATAGCAACCAAGATTTACATTATATATTACAGTTTTGTTCCATTTTTAATAGTTCATTTTGTTTGCATAACAAAGTATTACATCTCAATTTCAATAGTATTGATGATCATGATAATTTTCTTTTCTTTCTTCATTATTTTCTTTGTTGTTTGATTTCGGTTGTGTGTATTTTGAATAATATATGCTTTGTAAGTTATTCCATTAATTTTTCTGTTAATGAACAATAAACTAACGCTTTGGTACACATAATTAAATATGATATAAAAATAATAGGACGATTAGCTGTCTCGGAATTATGAAACGTTTTTTATTTTAGACAGAATGATGTGAAGTACGTTTTATATGTTGTATTGTATCCGTCCGATTTCGTATACCTAATGGATGTATATCTAAGTAAACAAGCGGTTTTTGAGTACAGTAAGAGACGTACTTCCATGTGTCTTAATTTCCATTCTTCATCTATGTTACGTCAACTCACTTGTTACAAGAATAATGAATATTTGTCACACTAATTTCAACAGTTGCGTAACCATGTCCGTAACAATACATTAGGATAAAAAGTAGATCATCTGCACTTAAGTCCTCAAACGATCAATTTCCTTAATAATTCAAGTAGAAAACGCAATACAAGATTCGTATTTGTGTACTGTTTTATCTTTGAGTCAACAATTTAGTTAATATAGTTTCCCATAATTTATTTCGATCAGAATGGACAAATCATGTTTTTTAGAGCACAGAATTTCCACCTATACATTGGCATGATAGATTATGGCTATTCCATAGGTTAGGCTTCATAGTCTAACGTTTAGATCAAGTGACAAAATATGTTGCTACTCTAAGGGGTATGAATATACAAGATATTTGTGACTAGTTATCATATATATATATATATAAAGAAGGCACTTTATGGTGGACTTATAGGATTAGTAATATTATGTACCCATCAATACTTACGTTACACTGTGTTGAAAGCTATTTTCGATGAATTTATAGTTTAATAGACCATGTGACATATCATTTAGCATGGCTAAACTATTTAGTTGCAATTATCATTTGTGATCTAGGAGCTTTGATCTTTGCAATTTAATGTTTATATTTATATATTTTATTTACCATGATGTAATAAATGTGGTTTGTTGACTTTTATACAGCATGTGATTTATATTAAATTAACTACTTATGTATAGTTCTGTTACTTATTTTAACGATGGTGTATCATTTAGACTAACTTAAATATCAAAAAAGAATATGCTCAAATTAGTTCACCAATAAATTTTATTCATTAAAATTTACCATTTTATCAATCAAAATTGATAAAACATTATTCAATATGCAACAAATAAAATGAAAATGCAATAATAATGGCCCCAGTGCTGTTTTTTTAAATTATTTAAAATGTAATAAAAAATTTTTTTAAATTGTCACAGGTAACATAAAGGGCGCTGTTAAGAATTTTGTTGTTGTTGTTGGTGGTGGTGGTAAATTTAAATATTATGTAAAATGACAATAGGGATGTTGTGTTATAATAACCAATTAAAAATAATTATCAGTATTAATGATGGATAATTGTTTCATTTTCCTAACGAATTCAATGTAATATAATAAAGATAAGATATAACTATTGACATAAAAGATATTTATATAGAGTGCATCAACGATCATATACAACAGTTTTTTTTCTTAATAATTAGACCTATTTAGACTTTAATAGTCATTTATTAATATATAAGACTATTTAGACCTCGAGAAGCGTAAACTCCAGTGAATACTCCAAGAATTAAAAAGAATGCAGCAAACATTCCAGCTAATGGAGCTCGATCAGGTGAACAACATCTAAAATGTAAAACAAGTTGGGTTTTTTTATTATTATTTGAGTATGGTATAAAATCGATTCAGTATTGTACAAGCTAAGGCTTAACTAGTAATAAAAGCCTAGAAATAATCACTACAGTTCTGTGAGGGTTAGGATTCAGGTGTAAGATTCATTTATAAAGCTTCAACTGAACTGTTGTGTTGCCTCGCAAAGTACTAGAACCTTCGTTCGATGTGTTTATGTTTTTTTTTCCTATAATTCCCAGTATATCTTCTGGCATATTAATTAACACTAATGTGTTTCAGTCTTTCATGAGTTTCGGATAATTTGTGAAATATGAAGCATGCCAATAGTTTGAACGTATTCAAAGTAAGAATCCTCCGATGGTAGTTCATAAATTATATAAACCATTTTTAGACATGAATGATGATCTTTCTAAACAACACTGGATAGAAGCTCGCGGCCATTCTTAGAAAAAGAAGGGACTAGGTCATCTGGGCTTGTTGACTTGCGGTGCTTCATAATTTATTGTTCATTGAAGATCTCTTCGTTAGATGGATCAGAAGACATCATCTAGGAGGGATGAGACAGTTCAATCAACGTTGCTGGAGCAACAGACTAGCTAAACTGTTCTTCGAAAAAATTAGCTCATCATCCAAGACGCGTTTGGATATTGATAATTGATATGCCGTCAATTCATAGATTGTTTCACTGGCAACAGACTTCTTAATTCCAGTCACTTAGATGAGTTGAAGCAGTACCTAAATATGTACTCTAAAAGGAGTTGAAGTCTTGTTCTTATATATGCTAACGATAGCTGATCGCAGTGTGAGCCTTGTCTTAAGTTACAGAGGCAAGACGCTAAGTAAGTGAATGAGAGGGAAGTTGGTGCAGCCCAGAAACTGTTAATGATGTTTACAAAGGTGTTGGAGCCGATAACGTCGTTTGACCTTCGGCCACACTTAGTCCCTATTGGCAAGAATCCCGATCTGTGATTTTAAACTCCCGGCTATCGCTATAATATCTATTGGACACTGAAAGGGGCGAGTTTACACCATAAATATGGCTTTAGGAAATCTATATACATGTTCTTATTCGATAGCAGCATTCACAAGATCGACGTGTCAGCCATTTGAGATCGTTTAGACAGCGCATAACTCTCAATAGACACGAATTGCCGAGTTAGGGAATGAAGGCACACAAACGGGAACAAAACAAAATAGAAATTTAAAGTAGAGCAAAATAACTTCATTTGTAATAGGGTCCTTTGAGTAATGTTTTAGTAGGTAGATAGGTGAATAGGACAGAGGTCTGTATTCATAATTATTGACATATTTACGTGGGGGTCGGGATACTACCTGGTCGCCAAAACGAAAGGTGATTTCTGTAGAGTCACTCTTTTGATCTCTTACTTACAAAAAATACACCCTCGCCACTTGAAGGTAATGAATAACACTTCCATGGCGAGGTCTTAATCACATGACCTTATGAGACAGCTGAATCTCACATTCCCCCACCCCACCAGAGTACTGTAGCCGTAATCGAATAATTTAATGAAGATTATAAGCACTGAAAAAGAGTCAACATAATATTAGCTTACCTTGGTGCATACATTAAACCGAGTGATGCAAGATGTCCACTGCTGAATGCAAATAAAATACAACCTAATACATATATATGATCATTTGTAATTAGAACAGATAGATGAGGATTTTCAATCCCGAAATTACAGGATAAAAAGAAAGGAATGAAGATAATAGTACGTAACATTACAGGAATCCATAGATAACGCGGTCCTGGCTGTTTAAGACAAAGGAAATATTGAAAAAAGAAACTAAAATTTATTCAATTCAAGGCTTTTTTCGAAAGTTCACATTGATGAAATTACATTTTGTAGCGTAATTGATAATTTTAATGATTTGACCTGAACTTCTGTGATGACGAAAAGGCATAACGTTATAATAACGACAATAATAACACCAATTTCAAATAAATAAACACTGTCAAGTCAGTAATAAGGAAGTTAAGGCCTGGTACAAATGTGCATCGTATGTGCAACCGTATTACCACAGAGATAGGCATGAAAAAAGTGAATATTAACGTAGTAGTAGTATTATCACTCATACTTAAAAACGAGAAATAGGGAATGTGATTCAATTCACAGAAATAAAGGTTATGAAATAGTTCCTAAACTCAGAATCTAAAGGAAACAGACAAAAATTGGATGAACGTGGACTGAAAAAATTTCCGTTTTTTACATTTCCGAAGGGATTTATGGAATAACAAGGAGTTCTTGAAATTTTCGCAGTGCATAAGGTTTCAACAATCAGATCATTACAACTATTTGCAAAAGTATTTTATAGCACTCAAGATCTTTTTTTATATTTTCGAATAAAGTAGTTATCGTAATTGTGATTTAGTTTACGAGTCAATCCATATGATATTCACTGTTATATGATTCCAATATCTTTACCGTAGAACACTGCATTAATAATAACTTCAGTACAGTAAGTCCATGTGCATCACCCGCTCTAGTAGAGCAAGGTAGTTAGGCCGTATCCAGCACATGCTTTCAACTCGGATAAGAGAACATGGCGCAGTGTGGTCCTATAAGAATGAGAGGAAAGCACTTAATTCTATTCTTGAACATGGAGTCGAACCAATCACTCTACCGATCAACAGGTTAATTTTAAGGCTGTTGATACAATCCGTTCAAATCTATCTAAATTTCTTCGTATCCAACTCTTTAAAACAGCAGAAGCCCTTGCCATTCATGAGTTGAAGCCAAAAGTGTTTGTGGAAAGGAAGTAAGTTTTATCGTTACCTTGGCCTTAAACTATTATTATTACTGTTGTTATTATTTCATCTCATGTTTGAAAATATCCCCCATCTTTTTACTTATGTCTCATATCCTCATGATGTTATTCATAATTGTTTCTGATATCACCGTCATTTCCTTTTAACCTCTTTATCATCTTTTATTATTGTAACAAAAACAACTTAATCATCTTACTTCCTTCACGTTAAAGTCCGTGACCAACTTTATTAATTTTACAAGGTTTTCTATTTGCACACACACAATCTATTATTATTATTATTATTCAGATCACGTGGTCTAGTATTATAATCGTTCTGTTACATCATCATGTTAATTCTTTGTTCATATATCCTCACGGAACTAATACATTAACAAGAATTTTCAAATATATATGATTGTACGAAGGGATCTTCGTTGAATGAATGTGTTGTTCATGTTTAAATGGGAATCATATGTAAATTATACATATAATTGGACTATTCGAAATTCATTGCCTTAATCTGATAAAATTCGTAGTCTCATAGCATCATCCAACGTTATGATCTTTTGTGTCATGGACACTAATTGTATTTAGAACTGAATAGGTTTAACGCAAGTTCTTTCATTTATCTCTAATTACTACCCTATGTTTTTTTTGAAAGGAATATAATTTTTGTCTGATAAGCTATTGATTCTCTTGGTTATTAATTATCATTGATCTGAAAAATTTCCCAAATTTTGTGTCAAAATTTTAAGAAATTAATTATTTGTAAATGTTTCTTCAACAAATTGTGATTCTTTAAAAAATGGTTATAAATTAGTCTGCTCTGGGACACAGGGTTTTGTTATAGTGTCATATGGACTTTCTAAATTGAGGTGTAGACTTTAATTTATGGTACAAAACATATCAACATTGGGTTTCTTATAAGAATAATGGGAAATAGCATCTTGTGATGTAATACTCTATAATCTACAGTATATGTAATAACAGTTCATACGAATAAATTGATTCTACAAATTAAATAAGTTTTAATATCAGATGGGTTTTGTGGATATTATAGTAATTTCAATGGTTAAGATCATGAGTCAGGAGTCCCACAATAGAACAAAACGGCCGTCCAGTGCTTACAAGTTTTCCATGGTAGTCTAGCTTCAACTGACTTATGATCTTAACTATTTAAATAAGTTTTGTTTATAGTTAATCCAGTAGAAACAACTTCGATCAATTCTTCTGATTGCACTATTAACTTATGTAGAGTAAAACAAATTGAAGAATGAAATCATGATAAAGTCATACTATTATTTGTTTTAATTACAAGTAAGAACTTGCTTTTAAAGATGACAACATTAAAATCAGAGTACCTTGAACCAATTTATTAAAGAAAAAAAATTTCAAAAGGTTAGGAAATGTTGAAAAATCACATTTTCTAAAATACTTAAGGAAATAA